ACAGATTCTGACGTTCAATGTTTTCTTATGTGGGATTTCTTCTTAGGTAAGAACAGAATCTACACATGTTCAAGAGCACAACAATTCTGTGGTCTAAGAACACGTCATGAATCTGACAGACTTTTTCTTAGGACCTTTCTACAATTTTACTTAGGCCTACTGGAACGCATGCTGATGGCACTTTATCATGCAAATATTGATATGTAGGTTGTATACCATGCAAATATTGACATTGTTGGTTTGAATAATATTTAAATAACATCATAGTAATGCAAAGCTGTCAGATTCTATAAAACCCATTTACATGGAAGAGCACTACACTGTTTGAACAAATGATTGATTTAGCTTCCTCAGTCATGACAGCTGCATTTGGCTACTCAAACCTGAGTAGATAGCTCTGCGACTGAATGCTTTAAATCATTTCTGATTCAATAGGATAAATAAAGGCAAATAATCTGGGCTACTTGTTGAGGTATAATGAAATTTAAACAAATCTATATACCTGCATAAAGCATCGTGAAATAGCATGGATCAACCAATAATTACATGTCTGCAAAAATTAGTATACTCAGACTACAACATATATTTGGCGAGAACGATGGCTGAGACCAAGACAAGTCAGAGTATACATACTACCAAGTCCAACACAAGTCTGAGACATCTGGAGTCCATGCTTGAGTACTACAATTTTACTTAGGCCTACTGGAACGCATGCTGATGGCACTTTATCATGCAAATATTGATATGTAGGTTGTATACCATGCAAATATTGACATTGTTGGTTTGAATAATATTTAAATAGCTGGTGTGTTTTCATCCCTTCAGTAAATAATTATTATTCAGAAACTCCAGAAGACTTGCAGGACCCCAAGGAGGCCTACTGCCAGGTAAAAAGCCAATGATAAGCAAAGCTTTTTCTTAAATTTCTTCTTGAGAAAGGTCCTAAGAAAAAGTCTGTCAGATTCATGACGTGTTCTTAGACCACAGAATTGTTGTGCTCTTGAACATGTGTAGATTCTGTTCTTACCTAAGAAGAAATCCCACATAAGAAAACATTGAACGTCAGAATCTTCTTAAAACCTGCATAAGTGGGATTCAAAAAGAAATTTCTTCTTAAGAAAAATTGGTGAATGAGACGCAATGTTTCTTTAACAAAAATGCTGAACAAGACTAGATAAACAGTATAGACATCATTTATAACGTTTGTAATTCATTCACGATCTGTGGATTGTGTGTATGTCGTTACTTAAGACCCTTATTTTATTTGTCTTTCCACTGATATTAAAGCCATGCATACTTTACTTTTTATTCACTTTTTATTATTTATGTTTATGTATTGACAGTTCGCATGCTTTATATGACCAGTTCAAAGTTCTGCTTGCAGTGTCCTTAAATCTCATGTTCTAAGACAACACTAATTGCCTCATTTTCTTTTTCACATTACAGCTTCACAACACTGAATCTGTGATGGATATTAATTCCACTATTAATTCCACTCTAGATTTTGATTACTGTGTAAATCAAACTCATGTTGGAATTGTTGTGTCCTATGTTGTAATGCTGCTCTGCTTCTTCTTGGGAACACCAGCTCATTCTTGGATCCTCTGGCTATTTTTCTGTCATGGATGGAAGATCAAACCCACCCAGGTGTTTCGTGTGAATCGTACTGTACTGGAGCTGATCTTCTGCATTCAATGCGGTCTTGAGATGCTCGATATCATCTTTAGCAGTGATACAAGAGAGTTTTGGAGAGTGAAATATCTTGTTTATGGCCTAAGCTGGGTCGGCAGACCTCTGTTGCAGATCTGCATTTGTGTTGAGCGGTATCTGGCAGTGATCCATCCAACAATATTCCTGAAATATAAAGGTATCCAGTATAGGATCGCAGCAGTTGCAGTAGTTTGGCTGGTGGCGGCTGCATATGCCACATATGAAGCTTTTACAAGTATTTACCATGAGTTCGTTTTTGACTTTGTCTTCTTCACAGCAGTGATTGTGATCTCATATTGCTGTGTGTCTGTCTTGTGTGCCCTGAAACAATCAGGACCAGGAGACACACAGATCACAACACAGAGAGGTAGAGATGTAGGCAACCAACAAAAGAGAAATGCCTTTAAAACAGTCTTTTCAGGATTGCTCATAATCCTGTTCACCTACCTCCCTCAGGTATCTATTACTGTATTTAAGTGGATAAATATAGATGAGGGATTGTTATTTTGTAATATTTTTCCCATTATAGACTGTTTGAACATTTTGAGCGTGATGATCACACCACTGGAAAACAAATTACCAGGATGATCACCTGAAATGCCTAAACAATCAAAGGTAAATTAAAAAGAACTCATGAGTGGATTACATGGTTCTCAGAAACTCTACACAGCACCTATTATGACTCTTCATGGTCCAGATCAGGCACAGTACAATATTCTGGTCTGAATGTAATCTTGTTATGGTCGTACTGAATGTCTCTTCTTGTAAATGGAAATTTCCTTTTATTAGGCCCATTTAATTGTGTACGTATAGGTAAAGTTTGCAGATGCGCTTCAAACCACAAGGCAAATGTGAAACAGGTGCTACTAAATCCTGAAGATACATGCTTACTTGTTTTTTTTTATTTATTTCAGTGAAAATGGATGCAGAGAGAGAATGCCCTCAATATTGTCAGAAATGTAAATTAGGTCCTTTCTATGATTCTATTATGTGCCATATTGATGACTAAATTTCCCAAATTTAAAGAGTGTCTACAGTAAATCTCAAATCTTGGTCTCACAAAGTGAGCTTTTTCTCACTGGGAGCAAATATTAAGAGATGGAACCTCTTTAGAGGACATCAAAATACAATTATTCACCAAGTTAAAGCCCCCGGGCGGTATTTGTGATAGTGATTTAGTGGTGTTTTAGGGCTGTAGTTTGGAAGATAGAAACATGTTAAAATTTTAACTATTTTTTCAAAATAAAATGAAGTTCGCTGACCAGCAGCAGCCCAAAGAGTGTTTAACTGTGAGAGAATGACCACTCAGACCAGTTAAAACATGTACAGCTTGATCCTTTTGAAACACTTTGTTGTAATATTTCTTTCACTGGCCAATCAGAAGGGGAAGCAATGAATGCAAACATGCAGTTTGTACTTACTTAAATACATAAATTAGTTTTTTTGCTTATACATTTAAATGAACAGTGCTTTATCAGTATGTGACTGTAACTTTCAAACTCTATCAGCGAAAACTGATGAGAGTGCAATTTTAAAATGTAGGTGCTTATGCAGTATATATGTTAAAGTTATCACTGGTGAAAGGATAATGTATTATTGCTCAGCTATTTAAGGAATTTGTGTTAATTTTCTGTTAGCATGCATTTTGTGGAAAACGTTTGGCTTTATGGGCAAAAAAAAACTGCATCTCTTAGTGCCTATGGCGTGGGCAGCATACACATCTGGAAAGGCACTATCAATGCTGAACTGTATATAGAGGTTTTAGAACAACATATGCTCCCATCCAGACAACGTCTCTTTCAGTGAAGGCCTTTCATATTTCAGCAAGACAGCGCAGAACCACATACTGCATCCATCACAACAGCATGGCTTCACTGAAGAAGTGAGTCCAGGTGCCTGCCTGCAGTACAGACTTTTCACCAATAGAAATCATTTGGCACATCACGAAACAAAAAATCAGGCGAAGAGACAGGACTGTTGAGCAGCTGGAATCCTACATCAGACAAGAATGCGACAACATTCCTCTCCCAAAACTCCAGCAATTGGTCTCCTCATTTAGCACCTAGTAGCAATAAAGCTAGCATCCTACTGCCCAAAATCTGCTTTCTGTAGAAAAAAAGGGAAATAAACAGATACATTTTCTTTGATTTCTTACTGAAATACATCCTTTTGCTTTCTAAAAGTAAAGTAAACTATTTCTAGTTACGGCTCCATTCATCCCTTTAGGACTCACCCATGGACGCACTCTGTCATTTTGCAGTTGGTTTTTTGATAACGGGAGAAATAGATATGTATAGATAGAAAGTGAAAGTGGCCAGACTCTCCTTAAACCAGCTCTGAGGAGAGATGTGCGGATGAGAAGGGAACCCAAAATGGATGAAAGGAGGAGGCAAGGATGTTAAAGGCACTGTCCATTAATATAGTTCATTTTCTGTTCCATTACCTTTTTAAATGCAATAATGTTGTTGTTGTTTCTGTGAAAAAACGAAGGCATTTGTACTTTAAAATAAAATGAATAAATTTACTATTTAAATGATCACAAAAACACATGAATGTCTGTGTCCAACTTTAATATGGTGATTTAATATGGCTGTCCCACCTCACTGACATTGAACTTCTCTATTAAATATATGTATTGAAATCTTCCAGCAACACCATAATTACAGTGCTATTTGTTAAATGTCCGTGCAATTTAATGTTAAAATAATATTTTTTTGCGATTAATTTACTTAATTTAACCAAAAATGTCAAAGTAAATCGTGTCCCACATTTTATGCGCGACCCTGCTACCAAACCCATCAAAATTCCCACAATGTTTGGGACACATCGCTCCCTACTTTCTATCTGGTGCACTATGGTTACACAATAATGGCTTACACACCCAAATACTGAATTATATGTCTACAAGAAAGTAATTTAGTTCCAGTCAAAGCTGCGCAACTCCCGCCCAATCTAACATTTAGTGCACTACTTCGGTGTAGCCATAGTTTCCTTACCTATGAAGTGCACTACATAGGGAGGAGGGATCCATGAAACAGATGAACTAACGAGGCACACTTGGAAATACGACTAAGACATACATTAAAACTGCCAAGAACAAAACCAGAGCCAAACTGAAACAGCGAGCAGCGCTTCGGATTTGTTTTGTCTTAATTTAAAAAATCGTCTCTGTAATGCGAGTCGGCTCTCTTCGTTCACCTAAAAGAACTGACTCAAAGAGCCGACTCACCCGCGAACGACACATTACAAACAGGCAGTGGAGCGAGCTACCTAAGGTCTTGAGGGTCCCGAGAGTGTAGGCAGTGCGCGGTGTGCGCGCTAATTTGGACTACAGGAGCTGAACGGCTGACAGGGTCGTGTTTTCAGAGATGTCTCTGTGGTGAATGAGGTCTGAGGCGTTATGGCGGGAGTGATTCGGAGGCTCGATGAAACCGTGGTGAACCGTATTGCAGCGGGTGAAGTCATTCAGCGACCTGCTAATGCTATCAAAGAAATGATAGAGAACTGGTGAGCTGGCCGGCTAAGAAGCGAGCTTAGCTAAGTTAGCGAGTTTATTCTGCTCTGTCTTCCATTATTAACCGAGACTTAGAGTTACTGGTTTACTTGGTGATGGACAACTAGCTGTTAACTACTGCTGTGAACTAAGTTAATCCACGCAGATGATTGATATTTAACCTACGGTATTCACTTCTAACACTAGCAGCTGGTTTGATAATAGGAATGCACGGTGATATCGGAATCATATCGATATCGGCGTCAGACAGATATTTAGATATCACTGATATTTCAAAACAATATTTGACTCGATCTTTTTATTGCACTTGTGGCTAAGCTTGGGCAATAATGTAAATTTAGACAAACCATTATCGTCTGCTGAATTAGTAGGGCTGAAAGATGAATCGTTTTCTGTATCGAAATTGCAGTTTCATAGTGTGTAACTTTCACATTGAAGGAGCTGCATTTTTTAAGTACAGTAACCTAGTAGCTACAGCTGCATTTATAGCATACAGTATCAAAAATGTTGCCTTAAGTTTTAAGTGGGGAAATTTAACCTAACCACAGAGCTTGTGGACCTGCCCATAGACGTTTACATTTATGGCATTTAGCAGACGCTCTTATCCAGAGCGACTTACAATTGGAGCAGTTTTTTTACACAGGTAGGTGGAGGTAGTGTTAGGAGTCTTGCCCAAGGACTCCTAGTCTACAGTGTAGAAGGCACAGGTGTTACCCACTACACTATACCAACCACTACATTAGACCAATCAGATCAGGTCAAGCCTGAAGCCAGAAAAAGATGATATTCTGGTCTTCATGGCCAAAAAAAGAACAGGCCCGAACCTTAATTTATAGTAAATAATCGCAATTTAAACTGTAGTCGCAATATTAGTCAGAAAAATCACCATTAGATATTTTCCCCTTCAGACCAAATAAAGAGTTATTATGATGAAGAATCACTGTGATAAATGATATCATGATGATTCAAATTCAGTTAGGAAGTACCACATATGAGCATTACTAACTTGCATCCTATGGCTTGCATTTTGTTTCTAAGATATGGCAATATAATTAACGTATAATCAATAATTGGTCTGGTTTCTAATACTATGTCATAATTTATAATGATTATTTATTCATTTACTTACTTAATTGCTTACTTAGCACAGATGGAATTAACACTGTCAACGTTGAGAGGTTCTCTGTGGTCATTTGGTTGAAAAGCAAAATAAACTTTCCTGGAGAGTAGCTCTCATATACTGTAGTTTTGTTTCATTTGCATATTCCTCAGGGTTCCTTTCCACACTGAACATCTAAATTTTGTTGTTAAACTAATTTATGTTCAAAACAGGCATGTGTGTAGTTCGTTAGTCATGATGTTCTGTTTGTGTAGCCCAATTAAGTGCAGCCTGTTCAGCTGTGTAGACTTTAGAACTAATAATTGAGAAGAATGATTGAGAGAATGGCACAGCAATAGAAAACTCACGTAGCACTTAAAACAGAATGAAAATGATTATTTGCATATTTTTTAATTTTTTGCAATATTATTGCGATATTCAGTGATATAAATAATCAGCTCAAGGGCTGTTTGTGACACTACAGAAATAAATGTTGCATTTCTCCTTGATTTTGGTCCAGAAGGATCAGGGGTGTCCAGTCTTATATAAATGAAAAATATCATTAGCATCAACCCACAGTTCCCATACTGGTGCATCTCTTTAGTAGTTTGTTAAGTAAGCTACTGTATAATAAGTTACTATTTGTAATTTGTATATTGTAATAAGTTAGACTGCTGTTAGGTTGAGAAACTGCAGCTGTGGTATGAATGAACCATCACTTAATGAAATCATTAATATTGCATCTGCAGTCTGGATGCCAAGTCCACCAACATCCAGGTTACTGTCAAGGAGGGAGGATTAAAGTTGATCCAGATTCAGGACAATGGCACTGGAATTAGGGTAAGTTGCAGGAGAAGCTGTAGTCCACTGGATCATTACTTCATCTTGGCAGTAAAGATAAGCTAATTAAAATGTACAGCTCATTTTTGTTGTTGATGCAGTGTGGTTAGTTTATCCACAAACGTGTAGCTCATTTTTTCATGATTTTCTTTGGCAGAAAGAAGACCTGGAAATTGTTTGTGAGCGGTTTACAACAAGCAAGCTTCAGACTTTTGAGGACCTCACATCTATTTCCACATATGGGTTCAGAGGAGAGGTATAGTTATGTCTTGGGTCCCTGTTGTTGTTGTGATATATTTAAGAATGCATTCATAGCAGTTCAGCAGAAGGAATTGGAATTACAGAAATATGATCGAATACAATGAAATGATCCTGTGCTATTCTGTGCCATATTAAGTGCACAAAGGTCAAATGTGTGTTTCCCTAAAGAAAAAATGTAATACATCTAATGGTTAGTGCTGGTCAGTGTGCAAAGGCTGTAGTCAGTTTTTACGATTTAATATACACATGATGCAAAGAGGAATAAATTATACAAATAAGACTTTTACGGTATCTTCATTAAGTCTACTGTTGTGTTTGTTAGGCTCTTGCCAGCATAAGTCATGTAGCCCATGTCACGATTACCACGAAAACAGCTGACGGAAAATGCGCCTACCGGTAAGTGCACCTTCTTATGGTCCCTGTTTTCTTGTCTTGTTCCAGAATTTGTGTTGAATCTGTGAATACAGAATTTTGTTGTTTCCAGAAATTGTATTTGTTTACTTTGATGACCAGTTATTTTACTCATGCATTAAATATTGCAAGCTGGTGTTTTGTCAACACTCTCTGGGCATATCACAGTGCCAGTGCCCCAGGAGTATTGATAAATTTATAATCACTATCACCCGGTCGATATATTTTTTGGCTGAGAATATCAGCCAATAATGAGGTCCTGCATATTTATCAGTGACTTTAATAAACCCGCAGATAAAGATGAAGCACCTTTGTTGAAAACATTTGGCTCTATGTTGTAACAAATCTCTGACGTGAAGAAAACACGTTCGGTTTTGAGGATTTCTTGTCTGTATGTCACTACAGAAACTGCTGAACTGCTGACAGGATAGCTCAAAAAACATTTCTCAAGAAAATTGATGAAAAGTAAGAAATGTAAGAGCTAATTAATGGAAACCAAAACCACAGAGAATTCTGTGAAGTGCCGGACCCCGATGCCACAGCGCCGATATTAGTTACGATCTTGAGAGTTTCCGCTATGTTAGTTTAAGAAATGCAGTAAGAACTAACAATTGTTTGGCAGTTGAACTGACACTCGTATCAGTAAAGCAATGTGTAACTAAATCTAATGTGTTTTAATTTGTTAACATAGTAATCAGAATTTTTAGCTTCTTAAAATGAGTATCGCATCAGTCACACAGTTATCACGTCATCTTTCATGCAACTGGCTGTTCATCATTGACATCACACTTTCATGTGCTCATTCATGAGGCTTAATCACAGCCTGAGTATCTAAACCTTGACAGAGAAATTAATAGAGAAAGTGGTTAAATATGTTATGAATTGAGTTAAACACAGCTTTTGTCACGCTTAGTCAGGAACCCTGTCTAAGGGGAATGTGCTTTGTGAGACGGATCTCAGTTCAGAGAATTTATTTTGAAATCAGAACGGAAAGAGAAAAGCTTGTATTTCTTTACTTTGCTGACCAGGAACAATAAACATGCTTTAAATAATACAGCTAATGTCGGGGGGTATCAACATTCCAGTACCTCAGTAGCATTAATGATGATTATAGACTTGCTGATATCTTAATTTGCTGATTGGCTGTTATAGTGACAAATAGGTGGGACCTATTTGTCACAGATAAAGCCTGATATTTAACAACTTGTTTTATATTGTAACAAACCTCTGACGTGATCAAAACATTCGCTTTAGAGGGTTTTATGTCTATATGCCAAAGTCTTCACATCTGTCGAGTCCTGATCACCACAAAAAATAATTACGTCTTTTGAGAGTGTGAATGTAAGAGAGAGAATATTTCAAAATGGTGGAAAGATAATTCCATACATGATGCCAGTTCCTGGACTGTATGCTAAATCTCATCTCATGTCTCCTGAACTCATTATTGGTTTTTTTTCTTCCACAGAGCTAATTACTGTGATGGGAAACTGAAAGCTCCATCAAAACCTTGTGCTGGAAACCAAGGGACACTTATCTCTGTAAATATCTGTCAACAAATCAGAACCTCCAGATTATCTCATGAGTGCAGCTATGCACAACCAGCCTCATCACCTTTTCCTAATGTGATCAAATGTGATCTGTGCTTAGTTTATTTGCGGATTGCGTTTTCGCATTGGCCGTTAATCACCAGAGTTGTGTAGAAATGAGTGCAAGTCTGCCATGATTGTGTGATTGATCCTTAAGCACTTGTCTACTTATATTCCCTACTCAAGGACTAATAAGCTGATAAAGATCCAATTGTACAAATGCACACTCACAAATTACATAATCAAATTGAACTACTTACTATTTAAATAGAAATGTGAAAATATTATTATTAGCTTTATTTTCTAATTTTATTGTTATTACTAATAATTTTAATAATATAGATTTGACAGTTTAAACAAGCATTTTTTATATTGTTAACATATGATGCTCAATTTTACACAAACCAGATGTGAGTTTGATCATATAGTTACACCAAAGATGTACAGATAAGAAAACTGTTGGTTAAATTTGCACACATCCTTTATATGATCAGTTTAGACTTTATGCAGCTTTGAAGAATAAGTGCAATGATGTTTTGTTCTGTATAATAATTGGGCTCTGTTCATAGGTTGAAGACCTTTTCTATAATGTCCCCACTCGAAGGAAAGCCCTAAAAAGCCCCAGTGAAGAATACTCAAGGATTGTGGAGGTAGTGAGTAGGTGTGTCCATTGCTTTTGTAACTTTTTCATGGGTTGAATGATCTGGCAAAACAAAAACTTACAGTGTGTGCCAGTTTCATAATTTTGCTTTTTATCTTCCTCAGATATGCTATTCACAATTCTGGGAAAAGCTTTACAGTAAAGAAGGTAAAAGCGACTTTTAATTTGCAATTATTTATCATTGTGGAGTTTATTGTACAGTAAAAACGTTTTTTTTTTTGTTTGTTTCAGCAAGGAGAGATGGTAGCCGATGTGAAGACTCTACCCAATGCCTCAGTTTTAGACAACATTCGAGTGGTGTTTGGAGTGGCTGTGAGCAGGTATCATGGCACAATCATAGAGCTCTATCACTGGACCTATTTTGGTCTTTTTGCTAATCTATGCTTACTGTCAGTGACTTTGACCATTAACTTGAGCGCTGTCAGCCTGTCCAGCAAGGGCCCAAACACTGTGAAGATTCTCCCCCTGCTGTTTGCGTACAGAACATAGGATAATGAACATAATGTGCCGTGACAGCCCCATATTCATTTATATACATGATGCTATGTCAAAACATTCACAGTAAAAGGCAGAAACACAGTTTTTACATGTATTTCCCTGTACATATATATATATATATATATATCTGTTGACACTGATACATGAACATTTATAAAATTAGAAATAATAGAGCTAAATCTAAATTCTAAAACAATAAAATGAATGTAATACAGACATTTTAGCACAGTAATCCAATGTAACCTTAACGTTCTGCTCTTCTGCCTCTATAAACTAGAAAGCTAGAAACCTTTAAAAGTGAATTTTTCTCTGCCACAGCTTGGACATGACGGCCATTCATACGCAGCATTTGAACAGTTCAGCAGACTTACTTACTGGAAATTCTCATCAATTGCAAAAGGTTTTATAAATATTACACACAGTTGGTCTCATGTCTTAGTTTGCTGAGCAAAAGATAAAAAACATTGTGTTATAGCCACACGAGTCTCCTGGTGTTTCAAGCCTATACCTACCATAAAAAGCCAGTATAACATGCAGTGTTTAACTATTTTTGTTTAATAACGGCCACAAATTATATAATTTATGAAATATACTCTAGTACTCACTTCAGCCGGTTAATTGTGGTGTATTATAAGGATGTTAAAGTGTCCTAAAAGTAGTAAATACAACTTTATTTTTTCCAGGGAGTTGATCGAAGTTGGATGTGAAGATCAAAAGCTTGCCTTTAAACTGCAGGGATACATTTCCAATGCAAACTACTCAGTGAAGAAGTGTATCCTCATCCTCTTCATTAACCGTAAGTGTGTTTTTCCTATGTTTTGTTTTTTTTTTTTTCTCTCAATACTCGGTGGCTTTGGTTATGTCACCAAAACTGACGTTTTTGTTCTGAATGGTACTTGATGCTTTCCAGATCGTTTGGTGGAATCCAGTGCCCTGAAGAAAGCTATTGAAACTGTCTACACAGCGTATCTTCCCAAGAACACACATCCTTTCCTTTATCTCAGGTACCTGATTTTAATTTGCTTCATCTCAGGTGTCCCAGATATTACAGACACAAAGGATCTATTTGTTGCTAGTGATGGGTCATCTCTATAACTATGTAATGGTGATGTAGCATGCTTCTGAACATAAATTGGCCACTAGTATTCATAAATGCTTTGTTTTCTTTTCTGTTTTGGAAGCTTGTGCCGTCTTTGCGTATGTTCGTTTTGGTGAACTCTGATTCTGATGGTACTAGCTAGCATTAACATCTAAAAATGCCCATCACATTTATCTGATCATAGGGACATTTCACAATCTACATATCAGTGGAAGCGCTTGGAAGGATGTGCAAAGATTAAGCATACCAGTATGCAGCAGATGCCTTCAAACCCAGACACTGAATCCAGTTTCCAGTCCTGTATTTTGTATTCACTGATTCTAAACTAACATGTTGATGTAACTGATTGGTCACCTAACCCACTTTAACACTCAAAACCCAGGAAAATATTGGAATCCTTTTACTGTAATTGTTGAGGCTTTGCCAAGTTCACGCACGCAGCCCTTAAACAGCTTTTTACCAAGATGTAAGCATTCATACATGCCATAAAGGCCTGGTAAACATGGTGTGACATCCTCAGCATGAATGGGCAACAGCTGCTTCATTTCCTTCACTTCTGAATCATGTACAGCAATACATTGCCACAGTTTTTTCATTTGGAAAAACTAAAAAAGCAGCTGTAAAATCCAGGAGCGTCACTTGTTTTGCTTCTCTCTGTCATCATATAAAAATATACTCTTGTGGTATTTTCACTCAAAGAAAGAGACCTAGAAATGCAACTGTAAATCCAAAATTCACAGAAGGTTTCACATTCATGATTGTAAGGTAGACATCACTGTATGTTCTGGTAATGATTTGTTTTCTTCAGCTTCTGCTCACACATGAGCTCGCCAGGTAATTTCGCAGCAATTGTACTAGATCTCGAGTCCTCTGATCACCGAATCAGCTATTGGGTTTTTGACTCGCATCTTCACATTTTACTCCGTCCTGTTTATTTACCTTTATATTGCCGGTTAACTGTGCATGCATGGGAGGGGCTTTAGTGTCATACCTGCCAGTTAATGCAAAATCCAGCACCAGAAACTGGATTCAGGATTTCTGGATTCTGTTTTTTTATTATGTCCACTAACTGCTTCATAACTGGTTCCTTTCTTGAAAGCCTGGAAATCGCTCCTCATAACATTGATGTGAATGTGCACCCCACCAAGCATGAAGTGCACTTCCTCCATGAAGACTGCATCATTGAAAGCATTCAGAAACACATTGAGAGTAAACTCCTTGGCTCAAATTCCTCACGGACGTATTTCACACAGGTATGTAATGAAATATAACACTGAATTGCCAGTTTATTAGGTACCAACAGCCAGTGGCTTTTTTTATCAGGCACCTACCATACCATATAGATGCATGTTGTAGGTTTATAGTTCTTGGGACCACCATAAGACCACCACTGACCAGATGTTATTTGTGAGCAGTCAGATTTAAATCTGGTTTAAATGTGTCTTTGGATAATCTCTATCCAAACATAATCTGGATACTCAAGATGCATGCAAGGACCAAGTACAAACAGGATCTTTGTGTATGTTTCTGCAGTGTATATGAGCTCCTTGTTAGAACATTGCTTCTGCTTTGTCTCCCCAACAGACTTTACTTCCAGGACTATCAGCCTCTGTTAGTGATGTCAAAGCCTCAAATAGCTCATCAGCAGACCCCAGTGAGCGAGTCTATGCCCATCAGATGGTTCGTACTGACAGTAAGGCCCAAAAGCTGGATGCTTTTTTGCAGCCAGTGAGTAAGCCTTCTTTAGTTCCCAAGCCTGCCAGCCCCCCAGCTCCAGCCCAGGCTACTGCTGAGGTGGATGATGCAGAAATGGGGGATGCTGTGGATAGTTTGGAACCCGGCGCCTCAAAAGACCTGGAGCTTGACAGTGGACATGTCCAGTCAGAGACACCACCCAGGTGAGGCATAAGAGGCTGTTGTAGTGGATGCTTCTGTTTAAAAAGTCTTTTTTTTCTGTAAGTGAATTATGTACCAATGTCATCATATCCTCTTTATGTTGTATATTGTTGATTTTGCATTTGAGACCTAAACATCGAGCACAACCTTTTTGAGCCTGTGCGTTTATTGTTAATACATAAATAGTTTAACATGGTTCGATAAACTCCACAGAAACCTGACCCAACACCTCTGACGAAATTGTATTGATTTTGGCCATAATGATATATCTTTGTTTGGTAATTCATTAGAGTGCTCACAGCTCATGGTCAAACATTGAATGGTTAGTTAAAGTTAGAGGGTTTGCATGTTGCGATGTCGGTATAGCAAATTCCAATATCACAATAACAATTACCAACATTTTGTGCAGCACAGAAGCAGATGCAGCCTAATATTGGTTGGATTCTGGAAAATTACTACACAGTAACAACTTCACAAACTATGAACCTGTAAGAACACAAACACAACTCAACCAGATGGAGTTAAATGTTAACAGAACCTGTTGATTTGAATCCTGGAACACTTTGGCCAGGAAGGCTAAATGATGAGCCTTCAGCTTTGACTGAGGTATCATAGAAGGCAGCTGCCTTATTTTACCACCCAAATAAAACAACACAGTGTGTTTATGCTATTCTAGAAAACGGCCTCACATTGAGGAGGACGGGGATGACCACACAGCAGCCTGCACGCGCAAGGAGAACAAAGATGACCTCACAGCAGCCAGCACACCCAGGAGACGGGTCATCAAGCTGACCAGTGTGAAAGAGCTGCGAAATGAGATTACTGAGCAAACTCACAACGGTGAGATAATTAATAGTCTTTATTAATCATGTACAGTTATGTCATGTTCCAGTCTAGCACTGTCACTATTAAGTATATTTATAATGAAGTAATCTACTAAATATTTTAATGATTTATCAAATAAAATTTAACAGACTTAACTGTGTCAACACATGTTATTAACACTAACTTTTACAGCCCTAGAAATTAGGTATAGCAGGTATATTGTAACTAATGATGTTTTTTAATGGAGTCATTACGTTTAATCTATTATTTGTGACATTATAACTACGACTATATGCTTGAAAACGTCCTCCACACATTTGCTGGCTTCTGGTTGCTGTCGCCTGAATTTCATGCCGGCTGTTTACTTGCAGCTCTAAAAGGAAATCTTTGTTGCTCTCTGATCAGGTCTGCAGGAGATGTTGCAGAATCATTCATTTGTTGGATGTGTCAATCCCCAGTGGACCCTCGTCCAACACCACACCAAACTGTACCTACTGAACGCAACTAAACTCAGGTTAGCTACTGAATGTACAGTTTGAAAATGGAAATATCTGATCTGTTTGGATTTTAATATTGTACATGTTTAAAAATAAGCAGTAGATCCCTTTGCATCACACATGCTTAGTGTCCTGCCATTCTTTTTAGCACTTTTTCAATACTGATAGCAGATAGCAATGAGTATCAGCTTATACTGAGATATATATATATATATATATATATATATATATATAAACTTACAAGCTTTAGAGTCGACTATTTTAATTGAAGCTTTTCACTTCAATGAGCATCTAAAAGTAGACTCAAATACACCACTGCTCCAGAGGTACAAATACACAGATAGCAACATCACATCACACGGTATGAGTGTGTACACCCTAGCAGCCACCTTGGATACCATAGCACCTGTTCCAGGTGGCTGCTAGTGTGCTAGCAGTACACTAGCAGCCACCTGGAACCTCATAGCAACCAGTTAGCAACACCCTGTATAAACAAGCATTCTTGCAACTGCGTAGCAACACCAATTAGTGACATCCTAGGAACCACTAAAGATGCCATAGCATAAAATCACCAACTTAGTAGTCTAATAAGAAAACAGAACAACTGCTCAATAATGACAAACTGTTTAATGAAAATCAAATCCTTATAAACGTTTAAACTTCTTCTCAGCCTTCCACAGATATTCTGACGTCTTTTCCACCCTGTAAAGAGAAGATGTTAAAAATGAGACAAAACAACTTTGTCTCAAGAACAGACCAAAGACCAAATTCCAAAGTAATACATTAAGAGAAGAGTTCCTTTGTTTGGTTAACCACCTAGCTTAGCTATGTAACTCAGTTGGTAGACTAACATTAACAAGTTGGTAGCGAATTAAGGTCAGCTAATGCTGTCACTCCCACAAAAATACAGTTATAATAATAACAATCAAACAGTTTTCACTTAAAATAAAACACCTTCTTTGTTGGTATCCTTTGATAGTAAGTAGTAAAACGACTACATTTTAATGGTAGTTTACATACTGAGCAGCTGGACTCCCTAACATTACATAAAAGCTACCCAGCACTGTGAAAACAGCCCAACCAAATGACCCAACTGACTCAGTTGTTTGGGCCGAAACAATAAACCAAGATGTTTTACAGTGTATAGATACTATATATATCTCTATATTTTACTAATGCCTGTGGAATGTGTTTCTGTTTACTGCATGTTCATGTATATTCAATAATCAGTCCTTACTAATATTTCAAGGGTTGTATTTTTGTGTTTTAAAAAAGTGTTCGCTATTAACAACACGTTGACAGCTTTCATTAATAAGACCTCTGTTTGGAATGTTGAGGTCAGCAAATTGGAAAAAATGGCAAAATGGCAATCAATCTCTCATCAAACAATAATTCATACGTGTGATTTTGTTAGGGTGCTAAAAAGGGATATATTAGATAACCTGCAGCCACTGCGGCCCTTTTTTAAGTTTTCATAGCACCAAAGCAGGAGCTCATATCATCAGTTGTTTAAAGACAGAGATCAACAGATTGATAAGTAGAGTCAGGAATACTTCAGCTTGTTTGGAATGAAAACTTTCAGTCAAACCAGACCTTTGCAAAGACGTTTGACACCACTGACTTCAATTAATGTAATATTTCATATAACACCCAATTATGTGGTTCTTTTTTCCAGCCAGGAGCTCTTTTACCAGATCTTAATATATGATTTTGGCAACTTCGGCGTCCTGCGATTGTCAGTAAGTATGCCTTTTTTCTTGTCTTTCCCTTAGTAACTGAAAAGATTATCCAGACTTTCATAATTTTCAATAGGGGTTCATAATATATAGAGCTGTGAAAAAGTATTTACCCCCATGATATCTTCTGTTTTTACATATTTTTCACACATAATTAAGATCTCCAACTATATATAAAGACAAAAACTCATTAAACACAGAATACTGGCTTTTAAATGATCGTTTCAGTTATTGATATAACATTTAAGTTATACACCACCAGCTGGGCCTGTGTGAAAAAGTAAATGCACCCTAAGTTACTTAATCAACAAATTAACCAAATTAATTATTAACAATGATTAATTAACAACACATACCCAGGTTTGATGTACTACCAGACTTGTTGAGTGTGAACATCACCTAAATAAAACCTTTCCAGAAGTGTGAAGTAGGCTAAGGGTCTCAACAAGCAGCGCACTATTTCAGAAAGGAGAAAGGAAAGGAACTTCAGAAAGGAACTTTTCTGAAGTGTATCAGAAAAGGGTTGCAAAGCCATTTCTGAGGGTCTGGGTCTCCAGCCAACCACAGTGAGAGCCGTTATCTCCAAAAGAAGACAATCTTGTGAATCTTTCCAAAAGTGAATCCAGGAAACAGAGGTCTGCACTCCCATAGATTCCCTTTGGACCCATGGGACCCGCCACAATGTCTTGCAGCATGGGACCAATTTTCAGTGTTAAGGGTGGGAAACCAGGCCGCTGCAGACGGGAGCGGGCTGAAGCATGGATGAAGAGAAATCCCGCAAATTAATGAATAGCCTAAATGAAGTAGAACAATCACAAAATCATATATAAACAACATAAAAATGGTAACAGTAAAACAGTTAAATGAATGAAGTCATTCTAAAGAGTTGCAAAGCAACCGATCACAATAACAGTACGCAAATTCTTTTAGCTTAGAGAGATGGCGGAGCCTTCACTTTGATGGCCACTGCTGCCCAGCAAAACAGCAAAAATAATCGTTCAGTGGTTTCTTTCCTGCTTTGTGTTTACTGGGAATAAGTGGTATTTGGTAAAGTTACTTCACAGTGAGCCTGATGAGCATGACTGCCGTGTTATTTCAGCAGAGGATAATGTTTTTGTGAATAGACTGTTTCAGATATTGTCAGTTCACCTTGATGGAACTGCGCAGGCTGGAGCGGGCCAAAACGTTTCAGGTTGTGGGCGGGAGCGAGATAAATGATTACTATTTTCTGCGGGACTGAAAAACCAGTCCTGCACAGACCTCGACCAGGAAGTCACAAAAGAACCCAGAACATCTGAGGAACTGCCGGCCTCACTCGCCTCAGATAAGAGCAGCATTCATGATTCCAACATTAGGAAGAGAGTGAGCAACAGCTGTGTTCATGTGAGAGCTGCAAGGTGGAAAACACTGCTAACCAAAAGGAAGGATGATGGCAACAGTCAAAAGATGAGAGAGACCAGTGATAGGAAGTGTTTAAGTGCAGTTGTTGCTACTAAGACTTTCAACCAGTTTTTAAGTTTAGAGGAGCAATTACTTTTTCAAACATATGAAAGTGTTTCAGAATGTTTATTCCTTAAAAGATCATTTAACAACTGTTTTTTGTTTCCTCATGTTCTTATGTCTTATGTTACAGTTAATATGAGGATCTGAAACGATTTAGTGTGACAAATGTGGAAAAATAAAGGGAAACCAGGATGGGCAAATACTTTTTCATGGCCACCAAATAAAAATATTATTTATGTTGGACAGATGTTGATATTACTGCTGATAATTATTATAACCGATAATGTAGCATCTTGTTTGGAGTTCATGCCCTGATATACATGTGTAGTCACCAATAGTTGTAGGGCAGATGTCACTGCAATAAACCTGAAGGGTTGAAAAAAAATGCTGGACTGGGTATTTAAACCAGTTCCTTGTTTTAAACATCTAGTTTTGGTCACTTCCTGCCCGTCGCAGTTTGGTATTTATAATCTGTGGTTTTGCAGAGCCCAGCCCCTCTCTATGACTTGGCCATGCTGGCACTGGACTCTGAGGAGAGCGGATGGACGGAGGAGGACGGGCCTAAGGAAGGACTCGCTCAGTACATCGTAGATTTCTTAAAGAAAAAATCTGAAATGTTGGAGGATTATTTTTCCATGGAGATCGATGAGGTGGGTCAGTGCATTATACTCTAATAATGAAAGTCAATACATAATAGAAACCTCATTTACTTTGATTTGTTCATGAATACGACAGCGTCATATTTTTGGTCATATTTAAAGTCAACTTGAATCGGAAATCATAACTTGGGGCGTTGCATGTACACAGTCTTACAGTCGTATGCCAAAGTTTGTGCGCCCCTGGTCACATTCCATGTTTGGTTGATTTTTTTTTTTAAGTGAAAAGTGACCACATCCTGTACAGAGAACACAGTACTGCACATTTTAATGCACAATAAAAAGAAATAAAACATAAAATTTCATGTTTTATGTTTCATTTATTTCCAATATGTTAAACTCAGCAAATAAATAGAAACTGTTAAATGTATAAATTAAAAGTATTTTCCCACCTGCTGGTGCAGAGTGATGTATTCAAAACTCAGAAATCATTTTAGAGCTGGGTTACCACACAGTAAAACAAGATTTTTTTTTTTCTTTTCAAATGATGTGATACAGTGAATCGGACTTAATATGACCAGAAACGTTTAACTAACAAGGTAAAATATGTCTGTTATGACTTTAGGTTAACTTTATGATGGCTTGCCAAAGGCAACTTGCTGATAAATCATCTTATTGTTCTATCCAATTGATTTATTATAGACTTATAGCTTTTCAGACTGCTCCCAATTCAGCTTAAAGGTTACTTACAGCACCTGTAAGGAGACCCTGCAAGTAACCTCACCGGTCTTAAACAAAAAAAACATAAATCAATATTAAAAATGTAATATAATCAAAAAGTGAAACAAAATTAAAAATAGACACTAAAACTAACAGCATTAAAACTCAGGATAAATATTTATTTGACTGTGCTGTAGTAAGTAAGCAAAAAGCCTAAAAACTGCTTTTCTTGTGATGACAAAATCTGAAGACGTCTGGGTAGAGTACTGTTACTACTGAAACTCAGATGAGATTTAGATACGATCTTTCATGAGTCTCTGGAAAAAAAAACCTACATTAACAACACAGCAACACAATTATATGGGTTTATCTGGTGGTGCTGTAGCTGTGTTTTTACAGTATGTATCCCTATCCCTACTACAATGCTACAGAATATTGTGTTCCTAGAAAGCCACATTGGGTTTTCTTCTAATAATCATTTAGATACAGCAAACAATTGAAACAAATACTTTGTGAACTAGAACCAGTAGGTTACCTAATCTGAGCCGTAGTCCTGCTTTGCACAGTTTAGTGTTTTCCCTGCAGTAATAATCAGTAACCAATAATTAAAGATCCTCAGATTCTTGAATCAGATGTGTTAAAGCAGCAAAGCATGAAACTGCAGTTCAGACGGGCCTTCTTTGGCAGACTTTTGCCACTAGGTGGCACCATAACATAAGGAAAAACTGCCTTAAAAATTAAAAAAAGATTTTTTTACCTTGTGAGTTGATGTTCCTGGTCATATTAAACAGGATTTGTCATGTCAAATTATTGATAAGACAAAATTCCTATTTGATCGTTGTCCTTCAATGGAATGTAGTGACTCTTGGCGCCTTGAAAAGATCTTCTGACTTTTGAATACATCACCGTGCACCAGCAGGCAGGCAAAAATAATATTGCTAATATTGTGTCCCCCCGGCATAAAACCACCCCCACCTATCATTAAGTGAAAACACTTAGTCAGGTCTAAAACCACGTTTCACTCAGAGGTACATCATACTATGAAATGAAAATGCGTTATGGTTTCCTGTTCACGTTTGATTTTACTCCTGAATAAATCGTTCAGTCTGGACAGTGTAAAGTTTATTTTATAAAATATTTTAATATTTGCTGTCTGTCATTTAATGGTATCACTTTGCATCATTTGTAGGAAGGGAACTTGACTGCTCTTCCTCTTCTGCTCGACAACTACACTCCTGCCATGGAAGGACTACCACTGTTCATCCTGCGCTTAGCCACAGAGGTTTGCATCCTATTACGCTTCCTCTGAAGCAGAATAAACAGAGTGTAAAGTTTCATGTGAAATAGTACTGTACTTAAAACAGGCTGAACAGGGATCATGTCTTTTTCTTTGGGTAATCCAGGTGAACTGGGACAATGAGAGGGAGTGTTTCCGGGACTTCAGTAAAGAGTGCAGCCAATTCTACTCCATAAGAAAACAGTACACAGTGGAGACTGAGGATGCAGACTCTCCGGTAAGCTGCACTCCTCACATATCATTACTCAGCAGTGTGCTGGAGCTACGAGGCTAATAGCTGAGGATTATAGCCCAGTCAGCATTTTGCAGTTACACTCAGCACGTGCCTTAAACCATGTTGAGTTGTTAAGTAATCTCAGATAGACTTGTTTGTGGTTTTGGCACTTTGACACACTAACTATCTCTGCATGCACACCAGTGGTTTGATATTACTGTGATGCTGCTAAGCTGTGATCATGTAAACAGCACAGTGCAACTGTGAGAAATAATCGGATATTTAAATAGAAGGAGAAAAAGGAATGGAGGTATTTTTAAACGGCAGGACTCATGGATAAACGTTTACCTTAAAATAATGACTTATTTTCTTGTGATTTTGCCAGCATATCAAAATATTGTTACTTTCTCAAAATTTTGACATACTATCTCAAAATAATGACTTGTTTTCGCAAAATGTTGACCTTACATAAGGACTTTTATAGAATGAATTGCTTAGTAGAGCCTTGTCTTCTTTTTTCAAAATGTAGACCGTCTCGAAATTAGTATTCTCAAAATATTGACTTAATCTCAAATTAATTAAGTCATTATTAAGTCATTATTTTAACATACAAAGTCAACATTTTGAGAAAATAAGACATCATTTAAAGACCAAGTCAATATTTTGACATATTGCAGCTCCGGCTCCACTGCCTGAACGCACCTTAGGTGGCTGTAAGCTTCTATTATTTGTCAGCTACATGAGCCTTTTAGCCTACATTTGGGGGGGATTATGTGAATTTGATTTGTAGCAAAATTGCTATAAATTACATTAATCATCTTGCATGTTCTTGTAGGACGCAGAGCCGAGCTGGCAGTGGAAGGTTGAACATGTTCTCTTCAAAGCATTGCGCTCCCTCCTGAGCCCTCCAAAACACTTCAGTGAAGACGGCAGTGTCCTCCAAATTGCCAACCTGCCTGACCTCTACAAAGTGTTTGAGCGATGCTGAACCCACACTGTCACCCTGAGTAGATTATTAATGTCACACTGGGCGTTTCATGACATTGAGATTCATGACTGTCCAGTAGTTTGTCCTCAGCCAGTATTCTGAGATCTTTTTGAAAGTTAGTATTTGTATATGGAAGTTTTCACTTTAAACATGTTTAATACAAATAAATATATTTTATGGCACTGTTTGTAGTTTCTGCATTTGATTGATATGAGGTCTGGATCATGCTGTCATTTTTTAACAAGAGTTTGATCTGAAATCTTAAGACAGTTGACGTCCACGCCTGTAATGCTGGACACCATTTTAAAACAATTCCCATTATAAAGTCAGTCTGGAATTAATAAAGGATTTAGTGTACACAGTGTATTGATGGAATATTCCCAATGGCTTCCTTTTTTTTTTTACAATTTTTACATTGTTCTAATGTAGTCTGAGCCAGGGTTGAACTGGAGAAGCAGTGACCGACGCCCAGACTGCAACCCCTATGAGAGGAAAGGGGAAAAAAGTACAAATCTCTGTTTCTTGGTCTTGGCAGCACATGAAATAGGCTAATGTAAAATGCCTAACAGTCTGGAAAAGAGCAGCACACATCATGCTTAAGAAATACAGAAGCAGGCTAAAGAGGGCAAAGTATGCAGAGAAACAGATGGACTATAGTCTAACTGAAGAACTACAAAGTGCTCCTACAGGGTCAGTGGAGCTGATAAAATGGACAATTGTTGTAGATACAAGGAGGCGGTTTTAATGAAGTGGTTGGTCAATATACGTTTGGCCCCATAGCTGGTCTTGAACACCAGTGTGTAAACTGATGTGTTGGGCAGATTTAAGAAAAAGGCGTTCTTACTTCAGAGACAGCTTTTTTCAGTGGTGATGTACATTTAATACATCCCACCAACCCCTAAATCAATCAGCAGAACGAGTGTTACACTGCAAGATCGTTTACAATACCACACGGCTTGAACAAATACTGAAAAACAGAACAGGGCAGGAGTCGATTTGAAGGTTTTTGAGGTTTGAACTGCTTTTGCTTACATTTTTGTTTTTTGTTTACATTTAAAGCATTTATCTGAGTTGAACTAAAGCCAGTTGCTTGTTACCAGAGAAAATTTTACAAACTGACGAGCCATGTTTTAGTGTATAGAAATGTTTCTCGCAATGATGGCATTAAGTAATTTTATATCAAAATATAGATGCAAATAATGATATTGTAGCCCTTTTGCCATTGGCAACTTACAGAGAGTGAGTAATGTGAATAGGTTGTTTTGCAAACTACACTCTGAAAACTATAAGCACAAATGAACTGCGATATTTCTGAAATGACAGGGCCCATATCCTGCACCATCCTTGTTTTCCTCCATAAGGGTTTACTTATGTTGGCTGTGTGGTTACATGTACCAAAAACAATGAGAATTTCATTTTTACACAATCTTTTTCCAACCTCTCTTTATCCCTTAGTAATAAACAAGCTGTGCCTTTAAGGCAGATGCAGGTAAAATTACCTGCATTCTGATTGGCTGCCCTGTGCCTCATTCCAGAAGCAGACTGGGCTGAAACACACTAACTTAAATCTGAATGGGCGGTGCTAACCTGATATGCAAAGTTTTTTGTTGTTGCTCACGAAAACAAATAATTCAATTTTTTGCAGTTTCCATATATGGACTGAGTGAGTGGAACATTTTAAAACCTGGCAATGTTTACATACTACATCAAACTCCTACTAAAATTCCAGGATATGGACCCTTTAATATTCTACTATTCAGGTCAGCCATTGTACTACCTGTAAATCCAAGGTAGCAAATTCCTAACCATCAAGCAATATGGGTAAACTAATCCTCATGTAACGTATGTATGAATTCTGTTTCCAGATTCTCAAAAACTGAATGTGGCGAACGCTTCAAACACAAAATCATCCATCTCCTTCACACATCACTAATTTACACATTTATTTTCAAGAAATATTTTAAATATTTTGGAAAAAAAAACAAAAACTCACTGAAACCATAGCAGAAAACTGGTTTTATATTCAGATCATGACTGAAATCCCTATATTAAATAATTTTTTTTCTTCTGTACCGATTTTTTTCCTTTATAATGCAAACCCTTAGTTTCCCTGTGAACAAAAGGCACACTGCTGTGAATGTATATCAGTGTTTAAGAGCTGTGTGAAATTAGTTTAAAATACACTTTTATATTCATTCATGCAACTTATTGGGGAGGAACAAAAAGACATCAGGAGGAATCAAGCACCCAAATCCAAGCAATAAAACCCAGGTGAATGACATGATATACAAAGCTTTCAAAAACACAAAATACCAGCCAAAAAAGGTCCTCAGAGACTCAGAGAGGGGGAAAATCATTTAGTGGCTCCCTTCCTGACACAAAGTTATGTGTGAACCAGTCTGTTGTTTTTGGTTTAAATGTTTAATGAAGAAAGGACTTCTTGTTGGTAGCAGGTGTTTTTTTTTTTGGTTTCCCCACACGTACGGCGTTAGGGAACAGGAGCAGCATTTGCAGTGTATGGCAGAAAAGTCTCGAGACTAGAAAGAAGTTTAAGGGCTTTTAAGATTGCGCAGTGGCCAAGGCAAAGTCTCATCACTGCTGAGAGAGGAGAGCGTTGCGATTGGCTTTCATCTTCTCCAGACGCTTTACTAGGTGGTTGTTGGTCATCTCCATCTCCTCGATCTTGTCCAGGGCTGCACGCAGCTGCAGAATGAATTGAGATACAATGAGGTTAACAATTTCCTGAAAGGATTCCCAAATAATAAAAATTCAACTAAATTCAATCAAAATACATCCATTTTGAATGATAAATTGTTAAATATGTTTATGTATTATTGTTATTCCCAAAAACTGCTAAGAACAGGATAGGTGCATTTATAAAACTTATTACAAATGTGAAAATCTATGAATATGCACATTCATTAAAAAATGTAACCGCCCCTTTGCTGCACTGTTTCTAAACCCCCACCTCTTCCTCAACTACCCTGCACGTAGTCTGTTTGTTTGAACAGATGAGACAGAGCAGCAACAAAGCTCCCATTGTAACTTTAATAATCAGAAAGATCTTTCTGTCACTCCAGCACCAGTTACTTGATTTCACTCACTCGGATTTGAGTCTTTATCCTCTAAACTTGCCTCAGTGCAGCGTCACTGAGCCAGAATTGCTGGTGATTAGATTCCGGTGCTAACAAAGACAGTGAGTTAAAAGTAACTTAAGCCAACAGCTTCACACAAAAAACACAGGTTTACCCACTCAGATTTGAGTCTTTATCCTCTAAACTTGCCTCAATGGGGTGTCCGGAATAGCTGGTGGTTTAGCCTTCTTGCTCAGCAAACATTAGCCTTTGGTAGTAGTAAGCTACATTAGTGCAGGGATGCTCTGTAACTGTGGGTAAGCTGCCCATTGTAATGTTGTAATCCTCTCATTATCATATTTAATATGTTGGACCAAGCTATACAACTGAATGGTGATGCTGCCCCATCAGTTTGTGCCAATGAACCAGACAATATGTCTACAGAATCTTTAAGATGCCATCTTTTAAGTGTCTAAGCCAGCAAGACTCTAATTCAAGTATATTTTACAAATTAGATAGTATGCTGTTAATAATCTGCCATTTTTCTGTTTACAAAGACTACATCTCCAGTTCTCATTACGTTTGTGCTATTCAGACTATAATTTTTTTTTTGTTTTTTTTTTTAACCAATGTGTAATCTTGCCACTATTTCTTTTTTCTTTTTTTTTGCTCACTGTCTTCAGTGAATTGCAGATCCCAAGTAGAACTGTAAAGTTGAACCATAGTAGAATGTACTTTAATGTTGGTGATTTCAATGACAGACTGTTGACGGGTTTTTGTTTTTCTCTTTTCCCCACTCTCAGACCACATTATCAGTCACAGGAGTTTTCCTTAGCCAGGTCGTTTCTACGCACATCATTGTCCCCCAACACAAAATCTTTGTTTGCCGTGGCCTCATGTTCCCCAACTCAAAGCAGAACTGCTTAGTAACACATAAAAGCCTTCAGTGTTTGGAGACTTCTGGAGGGCAGTGGATTCACACACACAGAGTTTTATTAAATGAATGAATGAATGAATAAATAAATAAACATATAAATAAAGTGTAACTTGATGGCCTCTGCTCCAGCAGTGCTGCTGTGAAATGATATTTTCTGGTTTGATGCCTTACCTCCCTCTGAAGTTTTCTTTTCTCAGCTTTCAGCTCATCTTCAATCTTCTCTGCATTATCAGCCGCTGCTTTGTATCTTAACACCTGCCCTTCAAGTCTGTTGACCTGCCGACCAAAAAGATTTTTTTTCACATTTTCACCACTTTACACTTACTGAGCACTTGTTTCACAGCTAAAATGCTTTACTAGTAAATAAAAGCATACTGTAAAACATCTGAGCAAATCATTTAAAGAAACAACTTTAGTTTTCTGTTCTTACTGCTTTATACAGAGCATATGGCCCATATACATATCTGTATGCATATATGAAAGTATAAACAAGACTCAAACAATGAAACTGAAGTGCACATTTACTTGTTGAGGGTTTCTGACTAAACAGTCTTTCATAGAAAGTGGACATATACGGAATAAGTCAGTGTATTCATTAGCTATATTTGTATATGTATTTACAAATGTTTTATTGCAGTTGCTATGCCCTTATATTAAAATATTACATTTTTACAAAAAAAATTCTATTTAATTAAAGAAAATGATAGGTATGCCATTGATTATCAGTATGACCTGTAGTGTGGACACTAGGTGCACTAGATGTACATAATAAAGAGGGCAATGGACATAAATTACATGCATGACATTAAAATATTTCATCAAATATATTCTCAGAAGACTAATTACTTATTAATGATTATTGGAAGAATGCAAAAGATGTTGAATTTAATGAATATGAACTTACATTTTGTTCCATTGTACCCATTTCCTGTTCTGCCTTTGACAGCTTGAATTTATATTCACTAATTTGTCTGTTGGCGTCCCCTACAAAAGACAAAGAGCATATGATATATGTTAGTATTAGTGTCTCCTACTCGCAGCCATAAACTGAACTTGCAAAGCTGTTTCTACTTCAGAAAAATATTTACACAATGTGTTTAAAGTTCCAAGCGCATCTGAGTGCTGTAGTAGATTTGTGCAGAATAAAGGCAACTGGACAGCAACAATGCAGGTTTTGGTGGACACTATGTCCCTATTTCCATATTCTAGATTTTTCAATTAGGTGAACTTTTAAACGCCAACCCCCCCACGAAGAAGAATTTCAAAGAAAACACAAAATAGGTAAGGAAACTGTCACTCTAAATTTGATTTTTTTGCCTTATAAATATAATTTTCTTACTTTTATGTGTTGAAAAGTAGTGTGTGCTTGAAATTCATTGATTTGGATTTGACCTTTTCACTTAAAAAAAAGTGACATTCTTAATGGCCAGAATTGTCATTTTAATATTTACAATTTATCATCTGGGATACTTATTTTTAAGATTCATAAATATTACCCAAATCAGTTAATATTTAAAAATTTTAGTTCATACATAAACAGTATCTCTTTATTTACACCGACCTCCAGAATTACTGGCAAAGGTGAGAAAAAAAAAAGGCAGCAATCTTCATGTTTACAGATGACTAAGGATGTTTGGCCTTCATCCCACTTTATATTTATATCCTAGTGAAACAGGAAGCTATGGATGGCCAAGAGTACTTGACAAAGGTCAAATATGAATGTGTCAACTCCATTTTATTCATAAGAATTTCATAAGAACTGAAGGGAGCCAAAGTTTTTCCCTTGTATTTTCAGTGCAAGACCTTTTCATGGCTTCTGTTGCTCATGTTTACCAAGGGTGCCAATAATTCTGAAGATCACTGTACCTATAATAAACATTCATTCACATTCATTTAAACAGTCCCAAATGGCCGCTGCTCAACATCATTTGCGCTAGAGATTAACATATTAAAATATTTAGTTCACTGTTCATCACTGTTATTAAATGACAAAAAGTAGTTTTTAGGTAGTGAGTACATTAAGTATAAGATAATACTGGTAAGGTAAATGGTATGGAAGCCAAAACTATACGAATCCTAATTATAAACATGCACCTTCTTTAAACCATTCTAAAGGTTATAATACAAAGATGTTATATATCCAAGGTGTTGTATTTGTTCGTTACATTATGGTTTCTGTTTCTCTATATAGTATATAGTATTCCAAAGCATGAACTTTTATTCAAGCTACAAACATTGTAGTCTTAACCACAACAGGTTTCAACAACAAAGCCCTTTAAAAAGAATAGTTATTGTTAATATAAGGTAAAAGTTAAAAATTAAAGTTATTGCTGGTTCAGTTGAATGCATCATAAGTTCGTGCCAAGCATCCATGCCACCTTGCCTCAACAAACTGCGCAAACAAACTGCACTTGAGCTTTAGACAGAAATAACCTATATTATCAGATAATAAGAAAAATGCTCGGTGCACATTTGACGATAACAGGTGGGTATACCACAAACGTACAACAAGTTTGATGAATCATCTCAAATATGTACAGTGACACTTCCTGGAGTACCACCAGTCTCTGGTGAAGACGATGCTAAAAAACAGAGCTCAGAGCCACAAACTTGTCTGTTATGGTGAGTTTTGACTGTGATGGAGGACAGCAACACTGGTGCTGCTGCCATCACAGTCACTCCTAGGTAGAAGTGTCTGGCGCAGGGGTGAAGCTGAAAAGATCTGTAGCTCCAAACGCGCCTCAATCATTCACTCTACTCTCTGTAACTTGACAGAGCTCCACTCGGCCTGTGCGTTGCTGCTCTCCATGATTAAAAAAATAATATGTAAATATAATAAATAAAAACTACTAACTAAAAGCATGATGGTATTAAATAAAATGATACCATTAATTCCAATTCATTACACCCTTAGCATCAACATGACTCATAAAAGCTGTATTTGAACGAGAGGGCTACAATCACAGTTTCTATAGCAACATACGACACGAGAGCATCTGAGCTTCAGTCTGAATGTTAATACACTGTTCTTGCTGCTTTATATATGTCATTTAAAAAAATCAGTTATATTTAACCTATTTTTCTATATCTTGGAACCAGAAACATTTGTGAATGTATATATAAGCTGTGAATGAGTAAGCTTACTCTGCATTTCGATTAAGTGCAAGTCTGTGCCATTTTCCATCCGTTCTCCGTCTGTGTAAACACTTTCCATCTTAGAATGTTTCTGTCGCTCTTCCTCCAGCTGCATTTTCAGTTTCCTGATCTGTGAGATGTCAGAGACGACAAGTTCAGCTGACAGCACGCACTCTTCTAGGGAAAGTTACACTAATTACATTTCATAAAACATTTGCATCTTCTTACTAATCCAAACAGCATTTTTACTGGCTTTGCGCACAACAACACATACATACCTGAGCTAAAAGTTCATCTTTCTCCTCAGCAAGTTTTCGTAGCCGAACATCTGTTGTATGTAGGGGGGGAAGGAAAGTGTTTATGAACATATGAACATAAGTAACCAGACACCCCTTCAAATGAGTGATTTCTGCTACTTTAAGGTGCATGTGTTGCTGAAACATGCATTCAACTGCACACACACACACACACACTCCAGATTGTATAATCTACACAGAAAAGCACTGAACTAACCACCAACAACTATCCACTAATGCTGTGTCTGAACATCAAATCCTCATAGCAATGTTCCAACATCTAGTGTTAAGCCTTTCTAGAAAAGAAGAGGCAGTTATTGCAGGGGGTCAAACTACATATTAAAACCCCCGATTGCAGAAAAAGGGCAGGTGTCCATAAACTTTTGGACACATAGCGCAGTAGCTTCTTTTAAATCATGCACATGAGAGTCTGGCCTACATACTGTGTGGCTGACAAAACTGGCTGATATTAAGATCATTACCTACCACACAAAGGATCTTGTTGTACACTAGACACTTCTAATGAAAAATCACTCATTTTTAAGTTTCACGTTTTTTTACAAGTCTGTACAGAGACGGCTACGCAGCCACCCACTGCTGACCTTTATGACTGCAACACAGGCTAAACCTGAACAAAAAAATACCATCACAGTTAAAATAACAAGCATGAATGATGTATTCAATCCTAACCTTTAGCATAAGGATAACGTGCCAAAACAAAAAAAATCAGCACAAACCACACTCACACTAGACATCTGCAGTTCATACTGCCTTGCAAGCACGCATGACCAAAGCTGGTCCAAAAGACTGGGGACGAAAAAAAAAAAATCCTCCATTTTGGTGCAGTTAGCAAGCGAGCTAGATAACTAACCATCAACAGTAAAATCACAATCGTGAACATGACTGTTTTACATAAGTAAATACCCTTTAAAGGTCAACACAGCCAATGCAGCATCACTACTGCTCAAAAGATGCAAATTCCTGTGTTAAAGTTAACTAAAGTTTTCACCCTGGAAGTCTGTGACTAGAAATCACTAATCACAATGAATTTCCATTGAAATTAAAGGAATTCACTCTAAAAATTTTACCTGCAAAAGCTAGTGTGACTGGGCCTTTAGGATAATGTCAGAACACAAAAGAACTGTACATGTAGAAAATTGATAAAGTAAAAAAGGAAAACACAGAAATCAATAGAAATCAACAGAAACCAACAAAACGGCTAAGACTTACCCAGAGGTCCATCTCCAGCCGACTCCAACATATGTGCAGCTTCCTGTGTGACAACAGTGATCCCTGAGGTGGGGGGCTCGTGGTTGACATCACCGTTGGGCGTACCCTCAGGAATGATGACCAGCCCGTGTTTCTGCAGGGAGCAAAATGATGAAGACCAAACAGAATTAATAACCGTTGAAGTGCAAGCACTTTTTTTTGCGCAAGCAGTCCAGTTTTTTGCTTGCTATGAACAGAATCATTACATTGTATGTTGACTCTTTAAGATTTAAAAAAAGCTTCTTCACATTTATACATCTCATTAAAAAAGTTTTATTTCTAAAATGTATGAACTGGGATTAGCATTACACAAAAATATAACATTTATTTGTTAAAAATTTATTGAAAGGTTCTACAGAAAACCGAAAGTGGCCATGGCTTCGCTCCAAAGAACCCTTTTTGGTACCTTTATTTTTGAGTGTACAGATTGTGAGTGAGTCACAGGGGGGGGAAGTAACATACAAAAACAGGTCATTATGAAATGTCCTTCCTAGGACAACAGTAGCATTTTGTCCTTTGCTGGATTTCACAGTCTCCATCACTGACCTACCTCTACTGCTTTGGATTTCCCCTTGAGGTCAGCCAGCTCATCTCTGAGCTCGTCCCTCTCATTCCTAATGCAATCAAAGTACTCTTTCTGCCTCTCTAAGGCCTGGCCGAACAGCAGGGCAGGAAAAGAGAGAAGAAGCATGAGGACAAGTGAAGAAGGAAAAGCCACAAAGACGCAGGCAAGACATAATGGTCAGCATGCACAGAACAAAAGCAGGTTCATATTCTAATGCACACAAACAGTTACAAGCATAGAAAGCGAGCAAGAACAAGATGGCAATGCATGACTATTCAGGCAATGAGAACGAACCCTCATACTGTATCAATACAACTGGCTGGTCTAAGATGTGAAGAAGAAAGCAGAGAATGAAATATAAAGTAGTTCAAATCTAACTCAACAGGCAAAAATGGGCAGAACGATAAATTCTCTTCAACTGTAATTTAATGTTAAACTTGCTTTTAGGACAGTAACAGTAGATAAGGCAAACATGCTTTGTTGACTTAAGGTAAAGGGACACTCCAGGCAAAATAAAACATTTTCCCATTGCTAGATCTGTTGTAAAATGCTTATTCCCATCCTACAGCTGTGCTGCAGCAGTCTCTAGAGTGAGATTGTCTGGTTTAAGCTTTAAATATTAGGAAAACCCCTAAAGAAAGAAAAAGAAAGATGAAGATTTTGTTCCAAAAGCAATGATACCTCGGTTTGGCTTCTTTACTCATTTTGTGCTAAATAAAGATTGGTCATGATTGGCTGACACCACGGTTTTAGGCTGGAATGCCCCTTTAAATCAAGAAAAAAAGCACATTACCACCAGCTGGGATGGTGGCGGTCGTCTGCTAATAATTTATTAATACACTCCTAAACTGCATAAACACAAACTAAACTTTAATACACTGCAGCAAAATGTTCTGCATGCATGTGCTCACATTTGGTTTGAAGCATCTGGTTACCAAGTACTTTAAAATAGGATGCAGGCTACTATCCAAGGACAGGATGCATCAGACTGCTAGTAATATACAGTTGTGAGAAAGTTCATGAACCCTTTGGAATTTTCTGGATTTCTGAATGACTCCTGGAATGTGATCGGACCTTCATGTAAGTCATAATACTAAAAACAGCACTGTAACTGTTAAAACACTACAAACATTTTACAGCACTGGATCCATATAAACGGTTGAATCAAGCAAAAAAAATAATAATAATAATAATAATTTTGAAATTCTAGGGTATTTCTTCTGTTTGCTCTGCTGCTGATTCACCCCAGTGTTTCTAAGAGGGAGATCGAGAGTGGTCTCATCTTTCTACAGGCAGCATTTTTACTTTCTGTACTTTCCATGGTAAGCTCCCAAGGGCATGGTAAGCTCTCTCTCTTGTTAAGTGTTTTCATAAGACAAGACAAAGTATAGCGATGCACCAACTTTTGGCCACCAAAATATTTCAGCCAAAAAAGGTCAAAAGTGGCACTTTTGGCTTCATCTGAAATAGAAAAAATGCAGAAAATTTTGGTCTGTAAAAAACCCAAAAGACTGTAGTCCATATGACTATAATGAAGTGTCAACATCTTAAAACTTAACAAATCATTTGAATTATAATGACTTTATAAGACTAACTAGATCATTGTCTTGGATGACCAACTGTTCTCTGTTGTCAAGGACAATGGATACTGTAGTATATTCCGAGGGCTACAGACTAATCATTTTAGTAAGTATATTTTATAGAAGTAAATGTCACAAAAAAAAAGAAAAAAAAAGAAAAAAAAGAAAAGATATGGCAATTAATGACCAGGATGAAGATCAGGTCACAAATCCAGAAGTGTTCAAGTAGAAATCGAGATAACAGTTCACAAACTTTTTCAAACAGCTGTAAATGCACACAAGAACTGGCAACCAACTGCAATAACGGCAAATTAGAACATGCATATGGTTCTCTCCAACTCATGTTATAGTTCTCAGTGAAGTAGCAGTCTATTATTTCTCATCATTTTAAAAACTGCTATCCTAAAATCATACCGCAATCTTTTTGTCCTTCCAGTTAACAGTTTCCTGCAGGTCAAACACCTCTCTCGTGAAGTTATCTAACTTGACCTTAATGTTCTGGTTCTCCTAGAATGGCATGATTCAAACAGAAAGCCATGAAGCCATGGAGTGAAGCAGGGGAAAGAAAGTGGACAAAATCAAGACAGAGACAATGAAGAATCAATACATTAATGGCAGTAAAACACAAGACAAGAGACATAATTGAAAGAAAGCCTACTAGAAAGTAATGAATGTGACAGCATGTGGACCTGAGCCCTCTACCTCTCGTCATTTGGTCAAAAACCCTTGTGCAACTTTGATATCATTTGTGATTAAGCCAAAAAGGGGGATTCTGATGCTTCCAAGCGTAGAAATGAAGTAGAAATCTCACCTCAATAAGTTCATCACGCTGACGGATCCCCTCTTTTAGCTCTTCTTGTTTATGCAGCAGGACTGTACACGTATGCTTTTGCCTCTCTAATTCCTGAAAGTCAAGAGAAACAACAATTTTCATTTAAATTCTCAACAATTAGATTTGTTTATTGTCAAATTTCTAAGTAGCACTGCATTACATTTCAACCCAAATTATTTATGAAAACCACAGGTGGTTATTCACTATGCTGTAGAAATTATTACACTGTTAACATTCTGTTCTGCTTTAATGCTGTCACAGAGTTCAAAATGATAGTATACAAGATTTCTGTTATCATTCGTCAAGAGTTTGTTCTTGCTCTAACTAGCTAGTTCAATAATTACTTAATTTAATAAACCATATCACATGGTTTCTGACACTGTATGGCATACAGTTATGTATAAAAATGGGCAAAAGTACATACAAAATTTAGGTTTCAAGGTGACTGCAACTACAGTTTAATCTAAGTGACACACATAGCCAAAAGTATGTGCATAAAATCAAGATTATAGCCATACAGCTGAGTGACTTTCAACATGATATTGTCACAGGATGCCAGCTTTCCTGCAAGTCTGTCCAGTTTCTGCCCTGCTAGATCTGCTCTGGTCATTAATTTTAAAGTGAAAACATCTAGGAGCAGTTCAGCTCAGCCACAAAGCAGGAGTCCACACACGCTCACAGAACGGGACCACCTAACCTCATTAACAATACTTCACCATCTAAGTCTGAAGGAATAATCTGGGTTTTGCACAAGCCAGGAGAACACTACCTGCCCCAATGCAGTCCCAGCTGAGGAATAATAGTTTTTCATGGTTTGGGTCCCTTAGCTCCAGTACTACAGCATACAATGACATTCTAGACAATTGCATGCTTCCAATTTGGCAGAAATTATGCAATTCCATAATAATGAATAGATTGGAACAAGAAGTTCAGCAAGCACATATGGACATGTCTACTTATCTCTGGCCATGTAGTGTACCTTTGTCCATTTTTATAGATAACAATAAGTCAGAGTGTCAGAAACCACATAAGCAAGTTAAGTAGTTTCAAATTAAGTCACACACTTGTGATGTCAGTCATGCGGTTTGCACAGCTCTAATGGGAGGCTATAAGTTAACATTACGTGTTAGCCACATTAGCCTTGCAGCTCCAGTGCAAAACCAAAGATGCAAACTTTGTACACTAAACATAACTTGACTGACTGACTGCATTCAGGGGTAAGAGACAAGTTTGTATAAAATACATTTTTGGCCCGACTATTGCTAGTGATGTGTTATGAAGTCCAATTATGAACGAAGTAACACATAATGGTGAAAAGAAACAAATTGCATGCATAACTAATGATTCACACACCAAACCCAACCTTTGCTCAGACCATTGTATTGAAAAGCATATATGTACCTTTGACTTCTCCTCCATTTCTCTGCGTAGTTCTGACATTTGCTCCTCCATTTCCTCGATAACGTCCTTTAGTGTATCCACCTGGTAGATGAGGTTTGCCTTATCGTTGTCAAGTTGTGCATTAGATACCATGGCCTTCTTATACTTCTCTTCCACTTCAGACAAGGATTCCTACAAGAAAGTACAAGAATTCCCTATTAATTAATATGGCACAACATTGTTTTCTAGGTGCTATGACTATAAAGGTTAAATAAAACAATACAACCAGTAAAAAAATACCGTTATCACTGCCCCTCAAATTGAAGGTTTGGGAAAACTGTAATTATAAAGAGCACAACTGAACAGAATCAAAAAAGTTTAGTAGAGTCAAGTATAGCGTGAAAACTAGCTAAACATGCAGGGTCCTTTACGCATAGAAAACAGTGTAGACATTTACATGTTTTAAAAGTATTTGAAATGGGGCAACTTCACCCTTCTTCAAATACTTCTACTGAAGTTGCATCTAAAGAAAAAAAAGTTAAAAGCCTTTTTGTCAGGTTTGTTTGTCTCGTTTCTTATTAAGATTTACTAGGTGGTGTTTTACAGTCAGAATTTATTCCAGAGCTTATCGTGTCCAGACTGGCCCAAAAAAGAACAGCGAATGTGCAGTTAACAACACATAACTGTCCAAATGAGAGTTGAATAACAAAATAGATTAAAAGTCTCCAAACTCTGAGGTAGGCATGCCACAACTAGGTCAAAAACCAGGTCAGAAATCTCATCCTCCTGAAAAGGAGTAAGTGTAGCATCAGATCATGTCTCTGGCAGTACACTACAACAGAACAAGCACATACACTGCATTACGGTTATTTCAGGCCTAACCAGAGCACTGATCTTGCCACCGATTAGGTTAACAGGTTGGTTTTAAAAACCAATTCAGAATTACAGTTTCATGCAGGGGCTCATGCTTTCACACAAGAAAAATAGGGCTGTCACTATCGAATGTTAGTAATTGAGAAATCTTAACCTGATTAGGTTGATAATTGGATAATCAGAGACAAAAAAACCTACAAAACAAAAAATAAGTCACTGTTGAAACGTTGAGAAGGAAAAAAAAATTAACTGAAGAATTGAGTTTAATTGATCAATTGTGACAGCCCTAAAGAAGAGTGCCAAAATCAGGGGGGGTGGAGGCTTTGGGTGGAGGCTTTGGGTGGGGGGTTAGTGGGATCACACTCCACAGAGAAGAGGAAGAGAAGGCATGCACTGAGCTCAGGCCCCTCTACCTTCAGCTCTTTAAGCCCCTGCATGTATCGCCCCTCTACATCCTGAATCTGGTCCTTTAGATCATAGATGTCCTGTTGAGGAGATTGGAGGAGTGACTGGGGTGAATGTGAAAGGAAAAAGCAGGAGAATTATGGAAGAACCTGGCACACGCGGTCATTCGAACCACTGCATCCAAAGACTGCAAGTCTATTCATTCACATACAGTGGTACACACAGACATAGTACCAGGGCTTGCACAGACTTTAGCCCTGAGCTACTGACAGAACAGCATGACATACAATACACAGGCACCCACAGCCAGCATGAAAATGAAGAAAATCCACAAGTGTTTTCCATGTTGAAGTAAATATCTATTTCTCAATGTCCTCCAAACAAACCTTCTTAAAAAGGCCTCAGCTTCCCTGTAAAATTTACAAAATGTCCACTAAAATTTTCATTTAAAAATCTTCATTAGACATGTAATAAATGCCTATGTTAACTGAATTTGGCCACCCTGTCAATATCACACATCATACACATTTGAGAAGTAGTTGGCCTTTTTGATGGTTTTGTGTTGAAGCAGGAAAGAACAGAGCACACTCTGTTGCAATGGTTTTTGATAAAATAAAATAAAAAGCAAGATTAATTATTTCTTTTTACAACCATACACATCTTCACTACATAATGCAAACTTTGTACATTTTTTTTTAACAATTTAGTTAAAACTGAGTGGAAATGCTAGAAAAGTCAGCTAAATTTAAGTTTTCTTGACTACTACTTGACTGCTTGTGTTTAGGCAGGTTTCTACAAATATCTGTATTTACTATTGTCAGACTCAACCCTGTATGTTCAGCCACTCCTTAATTCTTCAGTGTAATCACAACAAAATGTATATGTCAGTTTCATAGCAGCTACTAAAGAATTTATAGTAGTTATCACTATTAGAGCTAGGCCTTCAGTTTAGGCCATAAATGTCAAAACCTGGTGAAAAACAACAGTGGGGAGAAAAAAAAAGAACACCTCTACAATAATGCTAAATTCTGTAAGCACCCCTACAGCATGTTTGCGGCAAGCTAATGGCGTTGCATTTGAACATTTGTTGGCCATTCTAGATTAAACATAAACAGTTAAAGCTTTTAAAAAAACAATTCCATGTTTTATCTGTGGTGGGGAAATCAAGACAGCAAAATTGGCCTTGCTGTCTCTGGGTGGCCCTCTCACCCCCAATACTCAGTGCAATGCTAGCCAACATGGGTATCTATTAGCTGATGTAACAGAATTGGTAGTCAACATTCCCCTCCAAGCACACTGAGCTGTCCAAAGATGTTGCTTTAGCAGCAGTTTAAAAAAGATGTGAGGGCACTTCACGTCTCGAAGGAAGAATGTGCAAAACCCTCAACCTCCCAGCTTGGAAGCATCGTGTTACAGAAGATGATCTAACTAGTAAGTGGAATTGGCATTGACTGAATAAGAGTAAATTGAGTAAACAATAAGAACAAACAAATAAATCAATAATTTTATAAAAATTGGTCCCAGTCATTGTAAAATGAAACCTGATTGGTTGCTTATTATGATGGTCATTAATCTGACATGTTAGGCCTTTAGTTCAGTTCCTGAGGTCAACAATGGGAGAGCTAGCTTGGCTGTATATACCTAGATACTAGGGAAGAAAAACCTGGTTAGATCATTTCCATTGGTCGTTTTAAGAATGTCACACTTTCGTGAAAAATTTTGCAAACTTAACACAGAAAATACAGAATTACAATGTTAACAAGAGTTTAGAGTGATTATTCTTTTAAATTAAATTGACCTAAGACTTGGAAACATATGCCTAGAAGACCCTGAGGGCTCCCAAATGGTAGATATTGAGTATCATAAGATTGTAATCTTAAGAGTAAAATAAGGCTAAGACTACAAAAGCGTAGGATCAAGTTTTTTTTAAATAACTCATGTGCATGAATTTAGTTCATGGATAGATTTTGCTTCAGTTGAAATTTTTTGTTGACTACATATTATTGTATAGCCAATAAATAATAATAACTGGAAAACACCACGAATGAGAATGAGAAGCCAAATCTTACCCTCAGTTCACTGAGAGAGGCATCTGGGTCAGCAATAATACTGGACATGTCCCCACTGCCCCGTCTGGAAGAGGTGCCTCCCAGGGAGGCCAGAGACGCAGCAGAGAGGCCTGGAGTGGCACATCGAGAGGACGGCTGCAACACACAGGGTTACAGACATCAGTCAACAGATACTAGATGTTTAAAAAACATTGAGTATCTAAAAATACTAGATGTTTTTTAAACATCTAGAAATTAACATGTTCTACAGCAACTGATTGTTTTGGGCGCTAACAATAATAATTTACACAAACTACTGAAGAAACAAATCTGAATACATAAAAATGAAATCTCCCCAACCCCTTTAAAATCTGCACGATTCATATGAATAGTATATTCATCCTTTAAAACGGTGAATGTATGCTTCTTTCTGATGAAAACAACTTGAAGTCTAAAACAGCTAGCTGATTATACATTATATTATACTATACAAACAGCAGATTTACTAAACTACACTACACACAAACTTTGTGTGTAGTCATTGTCTGATCAAGGGTACTAATAGTTTAACAAAGGCATTAATAATCCCAGAGATAAGCCCTAACATGACCTCGCCCAAAAATTAGAGATTTGTACATACTCACCCGACTGAAGGAGTCTGAGTACTGCTTGTCACACTTCTCCTCCAACTACAAGAAAAGGGAGAAAATAATAATCAGCACATATTTTCAGCTTGAGAATCACAAAACTGTAGCACCTTCTACCTGCAAATAAGAAAGGAATTAGAGCGGAAAGTGGAAAGTGGATCATTTTATGTTTCCAGACTGCATTAATTCTTTAAATACACCACAAAAAAAAAAGCTTCTAAGACACTGGGGTAAATGGGATTGCATCTTTACGACTGTCATGATACCAGAATTTTAACTTCAATACGGATACCAGGTGAAGCATCACAGCAAACTCAAACCAGAACAAAATACCAACAAATTGTGAACATTAGATAAATATGATAATAGTGCATCTTTGCCTATCCATTAGCATGAGCAATTTGATTTGCTTACAGGCAGAATACATCATCAACACAGTGTTAGCATCTTAAATAAAGAATTAAAAGTAAAGAAATGTTAGAACTGAAACTTTAAAACCATTTAGAATATCATCACTCATGTCAACAGTAAGAAATTTCAGTACTGCAGAGATAAAACAGGGAAAATATGCAGTACTATGAAAACAACGAGACATGTTAGATGTTTACATGCAATTTCAGTCATTGTGGGTTATTAAAAACACTGCAAGCTAAATTATGATCTTCAAATTTATATACCTACAAACTAACACAAACACAGGAGTATCAAAACCAAACTTACAATGTCACTTAACATTATTCAGTTATGAATACACAACACCTCTAGTTTGAAATAGGGATGGACATTCACTACTGTTCACAAGTTTGGAATCACTGTTCAAAAGTTTGGAATCAGTGTTTTCAATAACATACCAATTTTGTTGCAGATACATTTCTGAAATTATTTTAATATGATGCTGTTTTATATGCAGAAAATACTTTATAATACTTGATCATGAAAATGACCCCATAATAAATGAGAAATCTGTATAGCACTGAGAATAACCTTCCAGTAAAATTAAAATCCTAAATACCTCACACTTGAAAAGCAGTGACCAAATCTTGCTGATCAAATAGCTATGCGAAATGACTGTGATAAGAAATGTTATTATGGAATAACAAATATGATACGCGATTCCAAACTTTTGAATGGTAGTGTATGGTTATGAATAAAGGCCGCAGAAAGTTTAACATTCATTTAGCATTAGAGGCAATCACGAACTGATCATTCACTTCATTATAAGTTAATACACAATTCATTTCTGTGTTTTTTGACTACAAGCTACATGTAACTCAGTACTTAAATACTAAGCTGAGTCAGCATATTTAAACGGCAAAGCCCATCCCTAGTTTAAAACATTTTGGCACAAAACACTTCACAAAAGTGGTCAAATGCCAAAGTTATCTTGATTATGGTTAAGACCTCATGCGTTCAGACATCTTGAGACACTTAACTGTTGGAAGTTAACAGGTGACCACAGCAAGGCATGCAGCACATCAGTGTGCATCACTTACGCTGTCCAGATCTGGGATGCTCAGATCATCTAAATCAGAAACAATACTGCCTCTGCGGTTCGAGCGACTGAAATAATCAGCCGCAGTCGCGCTCACGTCAGAAATATCGGACGACTACAAAGTAAAGGCAAGTCAAAAGTGAGTGGGAATGAGAATCAAACATGTAGCTTGTGTACTTCAGTGGTTGGCCGAAGCAGTAAACGCAGTTACAGTGGCCCTTATTCAGCAAAGCTGCATGTGGTCAAATTTGAATGTAAAATGAGAACAAATTTTACAGGCAATTCTGTTACTTATCAGTTTCATCTTTGCTGTAACAGTCAAAATCCTCAAAATATAGTGGTAGATAATGGCACTTAAATTACGACTTGTTTCAATGTCGTATGATAGTTTCAGGAAGCAGCCATTAAGTACACAAATAAAGGTGCCAAAAAAGATTCTAGCAATGCAACAGAAGAACCACTTTGGGTTTCCAAAAGAATCTTTCAACTGATGGTTCTTAAAGAACCACTACTGTAAATGAAATAAGAAAGTGAAAAGAAACTTCACATTTCTTTTAAGTCTACATAATGTAAAGCTTCTATACCAATTAAAGGTCTTTCCTAGAACAATGTGTTCTTTATGGAACCATTACTTTTGAGTGTAGTTTGTATGTTATTCTGTGTGCTCCAATCTGCAATTGTTTCTATACAACTTTGATGACCAAGGGCCATTGTCCCTGCTGGCTCACCACACTATCCCTTCTTCCACGGCCGTAGCGATCCTGAGACACAGTACTGGCAGAGTCGTCATCAGAAGAGGACTGGGAGATTACAAAAAAATAATAATGATTAAAACAAAATAACCTTCAGAGTTAGTATGAGATGGGAGTAGCACAGCACAACCGCCAAACACGCCAAAATTTTAGAACAGCTCGTCATAGCACATCACACAGTTAATTAAGTAAATACAAAAATCCTCCAGTTTGTCAGCTAAATTAGACTTTGAATCACAACCATACAGTCATCAGGGTTCTAAACCTTATTCTAACACTATGAACAAAACACAAAAAACAAACATCTTTCAGCAAAGTGTTTCAACATAACTTCAAAAAGCCAGATATGTCCAAAGAGAGTTGAACACACTCTCACAGTACCATGTAGCAGACTTCAAGACCATTAGCAAGTGTTACATCAAGCTGAGTTCACTGCAGGCAAGCAGGAATTCCCATCCAAGCACACTCACCCACAACACAACCAAAACAGAATACCACTTCAAAAAAATTGGGATGTAATGGATGTAACAATGTAGATTTTAGTCTAGGCGTAGGCTTAATCTAGGTAACATAAAGGGATGTCAAGGTCACCTTAAGATAAATTAACTTTTGACACAATCCACTAGTTTTACTAGATCCTTTGAACCATTCATAGTAGTGCAGGTTGCTATGACAAAACCCATGACTGTAGTCCTCTCATTCAAATATAGCTTTTAAATAGTTTTAAAGCAACAGCGTCTGCAACTGAGCTGGACAGTGTTCATGGGTTACCTACAGAAAAATCAACAAGCAGCAGACTAACAAAATCAACAGCAAAGTGGAAAGATACAGTTCCCTCCAATGCAACAAGACTCCACAATCTGTATAAACGAGAGAGGCTACATTTGAGAAGTTGGAATCATTGAGTGTATATATGATTAATATGATATATACACACACTCATTGTTTCGAACATGTAGCTACTGTTGCCCTCATTTGCTTTCATCAGTGATGAAAATTCAATGGAAATCTGTGGAAATCAGGTGACTTACATCTTAAGGTTCATATGAGACCTGTGCACATGATTAAAATAATATGTTCGAATTACTGAAAGCAGTCAATACATCAAAATTAAGATTATTTTGTCCACTCATTTAACAAAATGCAGTACTTTAAAAAAAAAATCTTAAGGTCAAATTTGAGCAAATAAGACAAATGCAATTACTTAGCACAGAATAATGTGATTAAATGCAAAGAGTTGTTTTAATTGTTTGACAGCCCTAGTAACAAGTAACTGACTTCCATCCTGCAAAGATGTTTTGTATCTATTAGTATTAAACTTTGAGCATCCAATGATTTTGAAATTACAGACATTCAAACAATCTGGCAAAGTTGCGGCCTCTAGTCTCTCAACTGTAGAGGACACAAAAAGAAGCCTATAAGCCAAAGGTATCCAACTCAGGATCCTGAATCCTGTGTCTCATCCTGAATTGAATACCTTTGCATTAGCTGTCAGTGCTGCATGCTGGAGATGCTCTCAATGTGTCCTCCATGCTTGTTAGCAGGACTTGTTAGCAGAGACATGGAGGTGGTGCATGGTGCAAAGTGCTTACCACAGGACTACTGCGGGTAGAGCTGGCACCAGAAGAGTACCAGCTGCACTCAGAGGGCTGTGGGGACAAGGATCCCATTCAGAAGGGTTCCAAACAGTGCCTTGTTTTACAGGGTTGACATCATATCAAAATATACGACTATTCTGGATGCTAGTAAACACTTACAGCTCTGGAACTGTATGAGCCATAGAGACCATCATCACATATTGAGGCCTAAGGGCAGAAAAGTGGAAGTCCACTATTGAGCAATACCACGTCAACCAGTAAACTGCATGCTGTCCTTCTTTGAGAGGTGTTACATACAAGGTGAAATCAGAAGCAAGCTCACTCCTGTTTTAATGGCACACACAACCAAAATCCGCATTCAAACTACTGTCATAACTATATATAATGTGAAGCAATTATATAAACATTGCAGGGCCTGAGGCGGAGCTTCCCAGCATTTGAATTCAAATTTACTAGCTTAGCCTGTACCACTCAGAAATAACCAATTAATGTTTAAAAGTTTGTGCTGATTCCAATAAAATAAACAACTTCGAAGCAGAATCAGAGCTTTGTTGTTGGGATGTTTGCCAATACCGATAAGTTCACTGAACCTCAATACTGGCAAACTGATACATCAGTTGGAAGTACTACTTCTATGCTGTTTAAAAGACTGTACAGTGGCCCTAAGCAAGACAGAAGCAGAATGGCTTACTTTGACCTGTGTACACGTATTCAACTATTACACTACCAACCAGACATAACGGCCTCTTGCATGCAAAGGTACAAACTGTAAAGTACTATTGTCCACTTTCGGCATGCAAAGTATAAACTGACCAGGCTGTAGCTGCGCATCAGGCCTGTGGAGCCAGTGGTGGATGTGGCCTGTGAGAGGAGGTGTGGGAGGATTAAAGCACTGCTGATACAGCTATGAGTCTACAAACATGCATCCAACATCACATCTGCTTTTTTATACAGCATCAGGACTCATGATCATACATACAGTACTGTGCAAAAGCCTTTTATTTCACTTCCTGTCAGCACAACCATTTGCTAATCAAACAAAGAAGATGCTGGTGTTCACAATGGACTGACCACAATTGAGTCCAGACCTCAACATCATTTAATGCTTGGTATGTCTTGGATCACGAGAAACAGAAAATGCCACCACAACTTTTAAGACTGAATTCAGAGGTGTGGGAAAATATACCTGCAGATTTCTTTTCCTCAAAGAACAGAACCTATAATAATGGCGTGGACACACTAGATATTGATGACTTTTGCACAGTACTATATGTCTCACGTGTACTATATATGTATAAATACCTATATGCATAAGAACTTTCTAAGCCTAACCCTAAAATGGAACCCCAAGCTTTTGCAAAATGCACTTCACAAAGTGAACATCATTTTGTTTGTCCTAAAACTGAACAACTCACCGCTTTTCTTTCTCTGGTTTTACGAAAGGCAAGAAAAAATGTTTAAAATTGTACAAGAAAAGAAACAAAAACAGACAGACACTCATCTGTACCAATTATTTGGTTCATGTTAATCTAAACTACTAAGCTTGCCTGATCACAGAGCTTTGCAACATGTGACACAATTAAAGTGGACAAAGACAAGCGGACATATGTGGACAACAGACAGCAGTAAACACAAACCCGAGGCTGATAGGTAGAGACAGTGGAGGAGGAAGTAGGAGGTGGTTTGGAGTTCTTTAGACTGCTGTAGTTCCTTTGGTCATGATACAGTCCAGTCTAAGGGAATGACACATCATACAGTCATCAACAGAATGAAAATCTGTTCACAGTATAAGACATAATAACAGCTTGGAGAAGTCCAGGAAGTGGAACTGTGGAAGTGAAAGAAAATGAAAAAGGCCCAAATTCTTAGTTTAAGCCAAGTTATTCAACCAGAGATGATTCATTTAGTGCAGTCAGCAAGGAGTGAATCATCCATATTACAAAAAAAATGACCACGACTACAGTCCTGACCTTAAATGGAAGTGACCAAGCTCAAAATGTTGGAGAAATAAACAATATTTAGCGTGAAACTTAGTTTTCTTTTTTTAATGCAATTTAGTTGCAATGGAAAATGCACCAGCAAAACAGCAGGGCAAGCTTTTTAAAAAGAGCTATGAAAAACTATATATGTTTGCTAAAAAATTGCTCTTCACAGGCTCTTGAATTGGTCTAAATCTGTGAAATCAGTGAAGTTTACCTACTGTATATGAAAAGAAAATTTTGCGTACATCTAACAGATTCATACATGAATCACTGCTAAATCATACACTACAGTGGCAAGGTTTCTCTAAAGATGACAATATCTTTTTACTCTGCTAGTGCTACTTTATTTTAATCCTGTTAGTCTATTATCACATCTACTATCCTATTATCAAATCTATTATCCAGTGAGTTTGCATAGGGTGAACTGTTAACAGCTAGCTGTTAATGCGACCAGGTTATGCATGGAACAATAGGTTATTTAAGCAACTTCACTATTTAATCACAAGGAGGATCATTTGTTAGGCTGTCCCCAAATCACACAATGTAAATAATGTATATGTACCACATCTGCTCTTCATACTAAAAGATTTTGAGAAAAGTACAAACCCTCTTTCAAAAGAGGCGAAAGAGAATCAGAATTCAGAATCTGGGTCCATTTTTGTGTGCTTCATTGAAACAGACCAGCTTTACAGGAATAATCCAGCACTTTTCAAACTAATCTTCAATCTGCCACATTGCTGACTCAAACCACAATTACAGTAACTTACATTGTTTCGGCACCATTGATTTCTACTGTCAGCGCATTTTGAGTCAATATGATTGACTTCTTGTGTGCACAGGGAACAGAGTTAAAATTACAGTCCGTTGCATTATACTGTGTGCTAGACGTGCAGTATAAGGAGATTATGTTAAAAATACTGAAGTATTGCAAATCAGACTAAAGCCAGGTTAAGCACTTTAGTCACCTGTGTAAAAACAGTATTCACCACACATTTAAATTAAATATATAGTTAAATATTGTGCAAAATACATCAACCCATATTGTTATACACATAACATGATTTCTTTTTATGTCTTTTATGCAAAGGCACACCTGTAAATATTAATAAAAGCAAGACAGAGTAACAAGCTGTTTGTTAATCTTTGTTAATTCATAAAAAAAAATCATGCACTCCAACAAAATGTTTAATATGTGAGCTCACCCATCCATTGCAAAAACTAATAGGTAGCAGTGAAAAATTTATATCACAGTAAAATTCAAAATTTCTGAAGGTTTTATAATACAGAACATTTTCAAATTCAAATTCATTTTTGATGCTTATATAAACTTATTTTTGTAGATTAACAGTGGCTTTTTATTCTGGGATGTCCCTTTTCTTTTGATACATTTTAACAAATAAAGTAAATCTGAAATATGAAGATAAAACTTTGCCAACATTGCTTTCTAAAACTGGTCCCGCAGATCTGGCAAAAACAGTGCAAATGTTGTTTTCTGCTCCACCTTAAAAGGAGCAACAGTTATATTCTGGCACCTGTACAGGCACCGGAATATAACTGCTGCACCATTTAAGGTGGAATTGGAATTTCAAAAAAGAAGACAGCTTCAGCGATGTCGAATCTCTCAAGCCATTTTCCTTTTACGTGTTCTATACATTCGTACCTCTGACCATCAGACACTGCTGGAATTTTGAAAATTTTACAGTAAGTCATTTACACTTCAGTACCAGCTGGTCCACGGCTTGTTTTGCAAGACTTTTGCCTCATCTGATGCAGCTGAACGAGTCAGGCTGCTTCTCGGGCAGTAAGAGGAAGTGCAGCAACCTCTCTGGTGTCCATGTTAGATTAAAGCCGACCCCAAATGATCAACAATTAATATGAGTGCCTTAATGTGAGTGTGTAGCCAAGGACATGTTGTTAAGGACACAACTAAGCAGGCAGAGGTAGTACAGCTGTAACCAGACTACTCTACCAACCAACTACACTAGCTGATGTTAGCCAGAACCAAAACCAGTAAAAAGAAATTTCTGTTCCCATTGTAGAGTAGAAAATAGGAAGACATTTGCTTAGAAGTCTGTGAGTCTTCAACATCTACAGCGACTGCACCAGTGAGTTCTAGTGTTAGTTCTGACTCATTAGCTCGCCTAAAGGCAGCTTTTGTTATTTAAGCTTTATCTGACACAAAAATCTACCAGTTTAGCCCCAGTGACCAAAGCATTTTCCTTAGCTATTTAAGAATAATAAAACTGTTTTGGTCTGATTTTTTTAGCTTGCTAGAAACAGTGCATCAGTTTATCCTGTTTGTGTACCAGCAGTAAGAACTACGAAGCCCAATAGGTTAGTAAGAACTGTCTTTGCTACTTCTTCCCATTTTTAAACCAAATTTTTAACTGAACATAATCATTCTGGAGAACACATTCATTTCAAAATTAGTCAGAATGCACCTCCTTAATATTTATTAGTCTGATTTAAACGTTAGAATGACCTTGCGCTGCCACTGTATTTGCACTGGTACAGGCTTTTTCTACTGTAGCTTTCATTAATAAAACCCAAGCATCCTTAAGTCAATAACTGTATAGTGACACTAACCAAGAAGAACATTTAAAAAAAATTCAGACAAACAGTATTTAAAAAAAAAATAAAAAAAGGCTGCAGACCACCAACACAACAACGGCATCAAGCCTGTGGTTTTCAGGCAAAAGATCTACAATAAACACAAAAAAATTGAGGTCTGTAGTTTAAATTCTCAAAAGAGTTTTAGCATTTATACTAAGAAGCACTGACCAGTAGGCCTTTCCTGGAGCTATGGGAAACAGGCTTCATGTGGAGGTCACTATACAAAGAGCTCTGGAAAAAAGAGGGCATATGATTAACTCTTGCTAAGATACTTGTGCTTTAAGAGTCCACAATATTCAGGAGAACAGTAACAGTGCATCACTGTAGCACATTAAACAGTAAAAATGTTGGTCATCCATCAAAATAAAAAGTCATTTGTCTCATAGGTGCATCTTTTACACTTACGCTTTAATCTACGACTGCCAGACGCTGCTGGAATTTAGTAAACTTTACAAGCCGTTCACACTATCAGTTTTAGCTGAGAAGCTGCTGAGCTTCTCGACTAGAGGTCGAGACTGCAGCAACGAGCAGGGAGTGCCATAGTCTCCATACTAGGCTAATGTCTAACTTCTAACCCCAAGAAACTGGCTTTTCTGTCCGCTATCTTTTTCCCCCATTCACTCATTATAATCTGAAGTCTGTTCCTTTGACAAACTGGACTAACTTACCTAAGGCTTCAACTCACTATGCGAGAGGTGAGGGAATCAGTGTGTTTTGCACTGTTTGTGTTCACATCATTATTTATTTGCAAGCAAGTATAAGGGTAATGATAAAACTAATACCTAAAAAATATTCAATAGATGAACCGTTATACTGACTACTACTTGTGAACATATATTAAAATACCTTTCAAACTAAGTACAAGATCTTCTTGGCATACACAGAGCTAATATTAATATTATGTAATAACTGATGATTAAATCTGAAATCTGTATTTTAAACAGCTTTTTTGACTGACGTTTTTGTGAAGTATCCAGCAACAAACAAAGAAAATAAACAGCTTAAAGGCTGGCAACTATGAGTGCTGCACAGGAATTATTTTGTTTAATCAAATTATTATAAACTGATTTTACATCAGCCAGCATCTTATTTTCAAATTACAAAACAAATGTGTCCTCTGAGAAAAAGCATTTCACAATCGGTCACAGATAAGTGAAAGAGGATTATGATTGTGACTGACAATCATAATCATTCACCATAAAGACTGTACATACAGTAGAGTGAGAGCTCTTCAAAGAGGAACTACCGTAGAGGCCATCAGACTGCAAAGAGAGCAGCATCATGTAAATTTTATAATTCTTTTAAAGAAATTAAATCCAACCAACATGCAGTTACAAGTAACATAAACCTCTAAAAAACAAACAGTCAAACTAGATCATAACAAAGACCACTCTACACTAAATGTAATGTTTTTTAGCAGCAAATTGCAAAGAGGGCCCAGTTATTCATTGTGTTACATGAAATGTTAAAGAATGAATGGATGTAATTAGTTAGCAAAAAACACGGCATGGGATAAAAAAAGGTCAAGGTTTATATCTAAATGTTATACAATGTAAAGTCTCCTTTGTGCAGATACAACACTGCACACACATTACTACAAATTCCATAATGGAAAAACGAAGAAGATATTAAAATGCCTCATCTTCCAGTTGTATAAAGTTTACAAGCTGTTGTTACATGTCTAAACAACAGTCTGTACAATGTTCTGTGTTGAATGACAGGTTACATGGATGCTTTGTTCACAGGTGCTCCTGCATGAAGACAACGACGCACCCAGTAATAAACCCAGTAACAACAAACAATAAAGGGATGAATCTTTCCACCATTCACCAAAACTTCTGTGAGAGCTGCACGGGAATGGGCATGGTAACTGCAGCGTAATCTGTGGGTATGGGGACAAAAATATTTTTTTCCTGCAGTAACAACAGCAATGGGCATAAACTTTATGCTATTCCCATGGAAACAGTAATGAAATGTCTATTAACACCGCAGGAATGCTAATGAAAGGGCAGGTTTTTGTTTTCTTACAGCAGCTAAGGTCAATTAATTCCGTATGCTTAACTCACAGTTCTCTGACAGACCGATCACTTTCTCATACATTATTTTCTTAGTTCTCCAATCCCTGCTTAGAAACCATTGCTACCAATCTGCAATCCATTATTACTTTTAAGTATCATCAGCCAGTGCTTACTGTGTGCTTATATTTTGAATGTAAAGCTCCAGATGTGGTCAGATGTGTATGAGGGTCACTCGATAGCGTGACAGGCTGCTGTTTTCTTGCCTTTTGAAACACCAAAAACTGTACAATTGTCAGGTTTGATTTGTCTGTGCAGTTAACCTCAGCATCAGCTGAACACAGAGATCAGAATGAACAAAACTTGTTTGTTTGTTCAAAGGTCAGTCATTTCATTTGCTGTTAAGATGGTAATAGGAGACTGTTTGACTGAATAATAAGCCACAAAGCTAGAGTGATATTTGTTCATGTGAAAAGGGTATTAACAAGATCAAATACAGTATAGATTTTAACTAGTGGAGATTACCTGTTGACGTAAGACCCAAGTGGCTACATATTTTAGCAATACTGTTATAGTGAGAAAATGTGTCTCTTGATGAAAACTTATTCAAAAGTGTAAAGAAAATAATTCAGATGAACTGTTATATTAATATGTTATGTCGTTTGAGGGAATATACTGGTATACCCCTAAGAGTTATAAATCTGGGGTAAGATGGTGACACTGTTGAGGTACATGGAGATGGAGTGAGGACAGTGACGGGTAATGTGGTGATGGGGAGTGAACAGTGTTGAAGCAGGTGGGGATGGTGTTAAGAGGTGTCAGGGACTGTTGGGGTGAGGATATAATTTCATCCTCGTGCAGCTCTCTACTGTGCGCACAAAGGTGGCCTATAGAACTGAAATCAATCCACAGCTGGGAAGAAATTCTCCTACATGAAAACAAACCTAAGATAATGAGCCCCTCCCCCAGAAGAGCTCAGAATCCATCCCAGTATTCAGGCCAAGGGTGAAACTGCTCTAAATGTCTTTCACAGAGGGAAAGTGCTGTGCTATTAGAAGAAGCAAAGATGCTCTACTTTTGCATCAGCTCTGACTTTTATCCAGAAAGGGCCTAATAAAAGAGCTGATGACATCTTATATCCACCTTGTACTTTTCAGATGCAGGAGTGATTCCACACAGTGAAAGACTAGCAGCAAGCATATCACCATGACTGACAGTTGGATATTACATTACTAATTCACTGTAACTAGCACTGCCTTGTTTATTTCCGGGACAAAACTAAGTAACATGGACCTCCATCTGTTGTTTTGGGCTGGCAAGCTAGACTGAAGTACATAGTCAATTACCTTTTAAAAGAAAAAACATTAATGAAAATCCATATTCCCAATCCTTAGCTGACAATTTGCATGATAATCCATACTTTGAATTGTCTCTGACAGTAAGAAACTGCTTACTGGACACACTTTTGCATTTTTTGCCACTGGACTTCCATATATGTAATTTTCAGTAGATATCTTTCATATTTTAAAAGTTTTCTCTGCTCCCAACACACCTGATACAACTTATAAAATAATTAGCAATTCCTTCTGGACTGAGAGGCACTCCAGTAAAGTACTTTAGAACATTTGACAGGCTATGTCAAGTTCTGACTACTCTATTAGTCATCAAAATAAGTGGTGACTTACTCGATTATTAATATAATCTATAGTGACAGCTAGGGCTGGGTATCAAAATTCAATACCCGTATGGCACTGTCTGAACAACTTCAATACTACTGAGTGCTGAAAAACTGTCATTCAACACCAAAGCAAGCTTGTTCTAAAATGTTGACTGCTGATAAGTAGTCTGATAGTCTGTAATCTGTCGTGGTCAGTACATATAGCCACTTCCATTACCTCTCACTTCTTTCTGGTATATGCCACACCCACTTCCGGTTTCAAATCATAAACTGGAAGTGGGTGCGGCATTAACCAGAAAGAAGTGTGAGGTAATGGAAGTGGCTATATCTACTGACCACAACAGATTACAGTTTAAAAAAAAAAAAACTATGGGTCATGAATAAGCACTGAAGTCAAGGTTCTGGTATTAATATCAATATTGAACAATTGTGAACAATACCCAGTCCTAGTAACAGGCCTAATACTATTTTACCAAATACTATTATACTGAAATTACAGCTCCAAGTGCAAATTCAGTACCAATACTCTAAATCATATGTATATATTTACTAATTCGTGTTTAAAGCATGCTACATGTACACATTTATGCTGAGCTCATTTCAATAAGCAGTGAAAACACTAACAATGTAACCTAAGCAAAATTACTATTACTTTTTGGACGAAGTCCTTCATTAAAGTGATTTTAAGTCTTTAAAGTGATGTTGAGTCTTTGTATTTAACGATCTGTAAGGTTAGCACTTCAATGATTAACAACTTAAACATGAAAATGTACAACATCTATAGTTTTTTGTTAGTTACCATGTTACAAGTGTGAGCTTTTAGTTGGCATGTTAGAAATAAACACAGATGCACACATCTCACGGTCAATAACTTAAAAACAACACTCCAAGCAATAACAAGCACAGAGACGCACCACCAAGCCTTTTCTCCTAGATGTGCTAGACCGGCTGGAGGAATGAGAGTTGCCTAGCAGCGATGAAGATGATGACTTTAAAAGATAGAAAAACAAAATGAAAAATCAAGGGTTAGGTAAGCCTATATTTTGACACTCATTTGCAAACAAAGGACGAAAAGACTAGCTATCTACAATCATAAATCACACAAGCAGCTAGTTCTCCTGAGTAACAGCAAGCTGCAGCAACATTACAGAACTCTTCAAATACTCGTTGTGCTTCTCATTACACATCTGTTACTAGTTTATTTCGGACTGGGAGACTTACTGCCGTAGGACACATTACTTGTCATAGCTGTCAGCAGTGCCTGTTGACAGTCAAATGTGTTACAGTTTAAAACACTTAACACGAGATGTGTATGAGTAGTTGTCCACTCGTGTACTCAATCTGTAAATAAAGTTGTATGCAAAAGTTTGGGCCATCTGGCTACATATTTAGTTGATTTTTGAAGTGAAAAGAAGTAAACACAACCTCTGCAGCAAAACAACATTTCTGCAAATAGTAATACACAGTTACTTTATATCTGGTGAACTTAAAAACTAGAAAAATGAAAAATTTGTAATATGTAATTTGACTAGTGGGTGCCCAGACTTCTGCATACAACTGTACCTAGTCTACTCGTAAATCACAAGGCTGCAATGCTCAAATGTTTACAAATATGCTGCTTGATGCCTGAGACACTGTTTTCAGAGAGTTTTACACAGAGGCTTCGGCCTAAAACATATTTTTTAAAAAATGAGAGGTGCATGTAGGATGTAAAATGGGATTAAAAAGTTTTTTTCAGTTTTACCACTATTCATCAACATTACAATACAGCTATTATCTGTGTGATGGACACTGTGGCCTCTGGTTCCTATCACCACCACTGTAAAGAAATTTCTCTACAATGAACACTGATTTCACATCAAACCACTCTGAATGGCTTTGTTTACATCTCAAATATTTAATTATGCAGAATTGTTGAAAACCTACCCTTAACAATGTCTAATACAAAACCTTTCTGATCTGAAATATCATATATGCACACATTCACATGTGATTAACATCATGCTTAACAGAAAACGCAAGATTCATAGACACATTGTTCACACACCCTGTAACTTCCACTACTCCGAACCGACATAACATCATCCTCCAGGCCCTTCTGAGGAGAAATGGAGGAAAGAGGAAAAATAGAGAGGAGATTCAGACAACAGAGGAACAAAATAAGAGCATCTAAAGAGACATGAGGACAAGCTGAGATACAAACCCGATGACTATGGCTTTTGGATCGATGGCTGTGCCGGGCCTTCTCTGTGTCAGCCTGAAGCAGGGAGGAGGACAGATAAAGAATAAGCAACATACAAACAGTGGGATGGTGTTGGTAGTGGGGGTCTTTAAAGTGACTTTCAGTAAAAGAAGTGAAGTGCATTTACTTCAGATCACTGTTAAGCGAGTAAAAGAGTGAATAACTGGATTATTGAGGAATGAAGAATTAGTGAATGAGGAATTGCAAAGAGAGATTTTTTTTTTTTTAGCCTGCAAGTAAATTCAACACATGCTGTAACATGCGCAGCAGAATGAAAACCAGCCACCCATCGCTGTTTTTTATCCAACTGGCAAAATAACTGGCACAGCAAGTGTGTTTTCCACTACCACCAACAAAACAGTTGCCTTGTGGAACAATACACACACTGATGTCAAGAGAAACAAATGCACATCATCTGCCACTGTCCACTCAGACCAAGGCCAGAGAAAGGGGTCCAGAAGATAAGCACAGTGCTTAGCAAAAGTCAGAGACCATAATTTCATTTCCAGTCAAAAGAGTCAAAATAGCTACGAAAAACAAGTTATTAGTTTTTAATTAACAACAAAAAAAAAGCAGACAACAGAAGGCTCAACAGCTAAATATGTTTTTTTTTTTCCAGTATTTAGAGTGTCCACTTTGCCTTTATTACAGTTTCCATTCTTTTCAAGTGACCTGCTTTCAGTTTTTCAAAGAAATCTACAGGGATATTTTTCCCCATCACAGTTCAGTCTTAGAAGTTGCATTTTTCTGGTTCTCACAATACAAGTTCTCAAACACATCCAACGATGTTGAGATGTGGACTCTACGGTGGACAGTCCATTGTTCTGAGAACACCAGCAGCTTCTCTGTTAAATTTTTTTCTTCTTTGTCCATTTCCTTTTTTTCTCTGCGAGGCTTCTTGACAGCTACACATCCTTTCAGACCCATAGCGCTGAGTTGTCTTCTCTCAGTGGAAGGATGGACAAACACCTGCAGATCTTTTGCTGATCTGACAGTTCTGGTGTTCTACCACAATGTTTTGAAACTCCTGTTTTGTCCACTTATTTCCTTTGATTTTCTCTTCCTTTTGCAAGTAGATTAACTAGTCTAAATCTCCTGAAAAAAGAGTACCTTGTACTTAATGGACATTTTGACTGGAAATAAATGATGGGTGGTGACTGACTTTTGTACAATACTGCATGTGGGTAGAGTCTGCCATGAGCATTCGAGTAGACTAATTATTGACCAGGGTTAATCCCAGGTTATCTGATGATCATCAGACTTGATCTGTTGCTACACTTTCTAGGTTGACAGCCTGTCTAGAGGTATTGAGGTGAAAAATGATTAATACTGATAATCAAAAAACAACTTTGAGCGTTTCATTTTATTTTGAAAAAGTAAGTAACTAAAAAGTTCAGTAACTAAAAAGTAAATTTCCTTTCTGGAAATGTGGTCTGTGTCTGTTAATGTTTACAACACAGTATAACGTTCTATCTGGTGTCATTTTAGAAGAAGCAGAATAGAATAACTCAAAGCATTAGATAATTAAAGGTATTAATGCAAACTTAATTATCATCTGATGAAGTGATATTCTGAAAATACTGTGATAGTAAATTTTATCAATATTGCCTTGCACCAAGTTAAATGCTGTAAGATAGTTTTAATTATTTTAAGCAAACTACAAGCCATGAAAAAAGTATATATATATATATATATATATATATATATATATATATATATATATATATATATATATATATATATATATATATATATAAACGTAATGGATTATTATTATACTATTATTATTATTAGATTATATAATGAGCTATTTATAAGACCATGATAAAATGCATCCTTTTTTTATATGTTCATAGTAAGGATACATTAGGGACAGGTATGCTTTTTAAAAGAACAACAAATGGGAGCCTTTGTAAATGCGTTCATTTGGTAAACCTCAGTAAATAACCCTGACATCTGTTGTTTTATATACAAAGTCTACAGGTTAAACGTTTATATGTTGATCTCATTTAGAAAATGTAATAAGAGATACTGTAAAATGTTTACTCTAGAATATATTTTATTCTAGAATAGTTCAATGTTCTTTCCACCATGTTGACCATGCCGATGAAGACGATCCCATTTACTTCATCCTGTGAGAACTCTACACTATAGAAACCAACATTTAAAGAAAAGTTTTAACTAAGAACAAAAATTCTATGTGCATTTTGTCTCTCCTGCTATATTCAGGGAATGTGAGAAGTGTTTGATATGATTACGCATACCAGCGCTATTTTAGGCTCGTGCACTAAGAAACCTAATCCTTCTGATATCACTAGGAGAAGTAGGATGATACAGTCAGAAAACAGTACACATTATATATATATTATATATATATATATATATATATATATATATATATATATATATATATTATATATTATTTTCACTTTATGAAGGCTTCTCTTTTTTCAGCTTCACAATAGTCCTTGTTAGTCACTCTATTATGTTTCTGTATTCCTATTTATTCAGTTAGATTTGTCCTTTTATAATAAGCTCAGATTTTTTTTTAAGTAGCTGGTTCATCTAAGTATGGCCTTCTAATATTAATGATATTAATTCACAATAATTCAGTTTCTTTCAGGTTGAACTTACTTCTCTCTTACTTCGCTCTGCGCATGAAATGCATCTAAGCTATTTAAGGTCCGAAGAAAAATAAAATATTACACAATACAATACAATACATCTTCATGGAACACAGAGTGGGGCTTCCATAAGGAAATCAGTTAGTCATAACAAATTTACAGGACGGTTCATAAATTTGACCGTCATATATGTTTACTGATAGCATGAACGACTGACTAAATGCAGGAGTGTTTTGCTATTAGGATTATACAACACTACTTGAACACTCAAAACACGAACTGAGGAACCGACTCTGTGTTATTAGTTAAATTCCAATTCTACAGATATGCAGATGTTGGCTTAGAAAAGCAAGTTAGACATAAAACCAAACCACAACTGCCCACAGCATTAAAGAAGAATAAACGGTTCAGTTGTTGCAAACTATTTATACTAGTTTACCTTAGAATACTTACAGAACTACAGAATGACTGTCTTTAGTACCAAAATTCATAATTCAATTTGATATGATACAAATTGACATTTTTCAAGCTACCAGATGAGAGAACTTTTCTGCAAAGCTTTAGTTTTTACACACAAGTGACAAATCTGATGAGTGACAAATCATCAAATACCTTTCCATCTGTGCTCATGCAACACTCAATGAGAAAAGCGAAAGCCAGGCTGCGCTTCATGTGCGCATGACTGCTATGGCAGTGCTGGCTGCACGCTGCCACAAAAAAAGGCAAGGATAACACAGGAGGCAGGGGAGAGGTCCAGAAGCAGAGTGGTTAAAAATTTCACGTTGCTGTGGCATCGTGGCAAAAGAAGAAAAAGTAAAGGGAATATGCACTGTGACGCGCCCACCACCATTGTCGGCATGCTGCTATCATGGTGTTGTGGTTATTGCTGTAGCGCTAGTCTAAGCACATGCAAACACACCCTTCTGTACAAAGGTTGAGTCATGCAACAAGACGCCATCAGATATAAGTAGTGTAATTTCTGGTCAATAACAATCGTCTTTACTTTCATTTTGTTAGACGTGAATCCAAATTAAGTGACGCACATAGCAACAATATCACTGCTCCAAAAGTCATCCTCAATAAACAAAATCTCCCAAGAAAAAAAACAGTAAGAAACAAAACCTTACAAGATAACGTGGCACCACACACTGGAACCAAAGTCAAACTCCACAGGAAACCTCTGTTAAGCAAACACGCTGACACTGCACACAAGTTATTCATACCGTTAATAGGAGTGGTTTTGCCTGCTCTTTGAAACACATGTTAGAGACTCATAATGAATCCCATCATTAGCTTGGTGGAAAAAAAAACATGCATGTTCAAACTTATCTAATTCATTTCATACCATCCACTGGTGGATTTGCCCCCACTTCCTACTAGAGGAGGTGTGGTGATAAGAGAGCTGTAAAGAAAAGGCAAGAAGAAAAATCTTTGTGCATCTCCTCAAAACAATTTAACAGAGAATTTTTTGAGCACTGAATGCAAAAGTGGCAAGTAAAAAATACAAACAATTTGTAGTTTGAACTCCTTCACAATTTAATCTGTTATGTAAAAGAAACAGCATCTGAGATCCAACCACTGTAAATCTGTAGCATCTTATTTCACTATTGTGTGTGATGTCAATCCACAGAAAGTGTAGTAAATAGTTTTTTAAACATGTAGAGGTTTAGACTTTACATTAATGTAGGTTTATTAACAAGTTTAAGCAACAGGTCTAATCAACTGTTAGCTTGCTGGACTGGTAGACCCACAGCATTGTTTGAAAACAAAACAGAGCACAAACACTCTTTTAGATCATATGCATTTCACCAAAATTACCAGTTTGACCTCATTGTCAACCCTGCTTTGCTACTGCTTTTCGCACTACTGCAAAAAGAAACGCCAGTCAGAACTGTAACGATATATTTTCAGGCATCACTCAGAACAGCAGAATACAAGAACCCACAAATGCTGAGGTCTTCTTCTCACCATTCCGGAGAAACAACCACAATTTACTTCCAGCTGCAGAATTCCTTCTGAATTAGAAAAACTAAACTTCAGATGCTGTACCTCCTACCTAGAAGGTTCTGTACTAGCTAGAGAGCATGAAAATACACAGCCTGGATTACAAGAGGTCAATGAAATTCCCTTTTCTTTGTATTTCTTAAACGTACTACGATTCTATTCACAAGATATCGCAAAAACATCTACACAGCAACCATGGTGGAAGAATACTTTCTGTTCATATCTTGAAAGATAAGCCTTTTTTAGAGTCCACAGTTAGTCAGACACACCCTCTTCTACACAGTTCTCAACCATAAATTCTTTGCTGTTCATCCAGCCATCACATTTTCAGAATGTTTACATGAAAATCTAAGCGTAGGTTCATTTTGTGACAGATGATGTAATATCTGTGAGTCCTGAGACAAAAACTCAGATCACAAAACTGCTGCAACACTTAACATCTGTGACTACAGTTGAGCAATATTCAGTTTTCAAAATGGCCTTTTCTTATATTTTGTGACAGATGATGTAATCATTCATTGTTATTTTAAAAAAAAAAGAAAGCACAACACTTACAACTATATTTAAAATAGTTTCACCAGTTGCAAAAGACAACTACTTCAAAAAGTAACTAAAACTAAAACAAGCAGTCAATTATGAATTTTAAATTTCAAATTAAAAAAAGAAAGCTGAATATCTCTACACAAAAAAACAAAAAAAAAAAAAACAGTGTCGTTTCTGAACTGGATCTCATTTCATGCTAATTCAAAAGCTAACTTAGTATCAATTCCTACCTCCAATAAACAATAAGGGAAAAGTAATATAAAGAGTTTAAAGGCAAAGTTACACTGCAAATGGAAAAATAAAATGGAAAACGGAGAGCATATCAGACTAACCTCAGTCTAAATTCTCTTTTTTATTATTATTTTAAGGGCACATCACACACACACACACACACACACACACACATGTTTCAGGTGCAAAAAGCACGCAAAATCTAAAATCTCACCATCATCACATGATGCCATCAAAGCTGAAACTTTGCTGGACTTGCTTGTGCTTTAAGAGAGTTGCTTAAATCTCTGCTCCAAACATTGTAAAAATCACCTGCTCATTCCCTCAGTTCAGCAAGCAACTCCTCCATCTTCCCAGAGCAGCTGCACACGTGAAGTGCATACTTTTTGTGTGCATGTCTTTTTGCCTTATTTCACTCTGCAAGGTCTTTCATTGGTTGTTGCCTGAATCAGTTGATCAGTTACGCTGCTGACCAGGTCACACTACAGGACTCGTTCACATCCAAAGTCATAAAAAATCAAACTTTCAAAAATAACGGAAAGCCTTCAATTGCTCTAAAGCTCGATCAAAACATATCCAATCAAGCTCCCAACCTGGAAATTAATTAGCAGTTCTAATTTGTGGAATAGTGCTAAACCCCTCTAGAACAGCAGAGATGTTGATTACCTCTTTCTGTTGCCGCTCCAGCTCTCTCATTCTGATGTCTCGTGCCTCTGCTCTGGCAGCCCGCTTTGCAGCAAGTCTGGCCTCTGCCTAAAGAACATAAAGACGACAAAAACCACGTTTGTGAACGAATTTTTGAACTGACACTAGAATCATAAGCAGTATTTCACAATGCAGGACATCACAGTTAGCCCAACAGTGTCTGCACTTTCTGTGACTGCTTAAAGCAAGAGGGAACATAAATCTATGACTGTATTCTAATTAGGTTAATGTTGCTCTTGTGGGCTCACAATCTGCAAAAGTAGGCTCTGTAAATGACTGGTGAATATGTACATTTACACCAGTATTTCTAGAGACAGTAATAAATAAATAAAGTAGCTTAGTATGGAAAAGCTTTTCCCTTTGGTTTCTTCAAACGTTGAAGTCTTGTGGGTAAACTTGCTTTTTACAAAAATAAGAGTCAATATTGTTCTACTCAGCACTGCTGGCTTCATACAGTTGAAACACACTGCCAAGCTAGTTTGTGTTTAATGTGAGACCGAATATTCTCCACAGGGTTTAAATCTGGACTGTGACCAGGCCAAAACCATTTTTAAAAAACACTGGTATTTTGGGCTTGGCCCAGTGTTTTGGAATGGGTGAGTAATCTGGGTAAAGCTTTACCCTCATCAACCTCACGCCTGAAGTCACTTGTGCCTCTCACAGCTTTTAAGAAGACAAACTACATTGTTAATGGCAGGCATATTCATGTACATGCACACTGATACATTTTGTTAAAACATAATTTGTTAAAATATATATAAAAAGGGAGTAGTGAGTAGAGAACCAGTTTACTGCTTGAAATTCTTCCTCACTTAGTTTTATCACAACCATTATACTGAGGTAGACATCTTATCAAAATTCCCATTCCACCTTAAATATGGTGCCTGTAGAGGTGCCACAATCTAACTGCTGCTTCTCTTAAGGTGGAACAGAAACTATGAACAAAAAACGGTCGAATAAGAAGCCAAATTCAAGCCAAATTGAACCTTGTAGAAATGAATATTTAGCACTTATATATATATATATATATACACACATACACACACATACATACATACATACATATATATACACACATATATACACACACACACACACACACACACACACACACACACACACACACACATTATAGAGGTGGATGGCAAGCTTCCAAAACTAATTGGAATCAGAAATTGCAAAAAGGCTGATATTTTTCCAAAAATAACCATAATTTTGATTTTTCCACTCAGGTCTAATTTTTAGTAAACGAAGGAAGAATGATATACTAATCATGACTTCGCTGTTCTTTACTTTCTTCAGGAAATTAAACTTTCTGCATGATATGTGCTTCAAGATCCCCATTATGTAATCATCGCAAATGTATTGCAAATATAGCCACGGCCAACTATGAAACACTGAAAACCCAACCATTAGCTCACTCAAAAAAGAAATACAAAGTAAACCTGTTAATTCCCATAATATAAACACATATGCAGTCAAGATGCAGTAAAAGATCCTTTTAGGACAAAACCTTGAATGGCAATTTTTGTCCTTTTTTTCTATTTTTGTCTTATTTGAAAACTGCTCTTTACATTGTGTAAAAAATTCATGATGAATGGACCAACAAAATGACCTAAAATTAAAAATAACTTTGTTGCATCTATATCAATTAGAAGTTTGATCAAAAGGTTTTTTCCTTCAACTGTCAAGTTACCATTTTGGAGTTTGGAGGTTTTGTTCTAACTAAAATGAGCTGAGGCCCATGATTATGTATTCATTACGTGGGCCAACTAATTACACGCATTTATTTAATTATTCATTTTTACCCCTTACTATTCACATTATATTGTATCATTCATGCAAAGCACCACTCTACCACAGCAGCCCTGGCGCTTTTTTGCCTGTAGTAATCTCCAGAAATGAACAGTCATCTTCTACAAGCAGATAGAGGGTGCTCATGAGCACCGCTCTGAACACCAAAATGAGAAATGGACCTCCCAACAGCCTTGTGATCCTTGTGGGCATGCACAAATGAGGGTCAAGGGACTGCAAGTCCGCCAATTGGGACAGGACTGATATGTGTGGTGTGGTGTGGTTTGTGTATGTGGTCTGCACTCTGTGATCTGCACCTGTTGGGCTGTCTTGACAGTATGACCTGGTCTGCAGAGCAGTGTGGCTGAGTCCAGTGTCTCTGACCTATCTATAGCCTGTGCATCTAGCCCATCTGTGCCTTCATCATGAGACTGAAACTAGAAATCTGAGCAGCTCCTGCAGCAGAAACACACACCAACAACTAGCATGCAACTCCAGAAACCTGTATTAGAGGGACAGAATTACTACATGACAAACGTTTAACATCCTCCAAGCTGAATATCCACAGTGCTCCATTTTACTTTCAGACAAAACAGACAGACTCAAACTAGGGATGCGTGGATATGAATTTCTGACCCAAAACAAAAATAATGATTTAACACCTTATTGCGGCCAGTTCGCAGTTTAACCCTTTAAGGTCAACACAAAACGTGGTTATTTCTGCAATTTTATCTACTGTTTTCTGTTAAACGTACAATTCCTGAATGCTGTTGTTGTGCTAATGTGATGGGTAAAGAATGTGATCTAAAAAAGTTGAAAACTCTGAAATTTTAATTCGGAGAAAAAGAAAATACTTTCGCTTCTTCTATTATAGCTACCATTCAGTAACAGCAACATAAGGGGAAAAAAAAATGAAAGTTAATATTTTTATTATATATTATTATATATTATTAAAGTTCATAATCAATAACAAAGCAAATAAGATCAATACAAAAAAAGAAAAAGAAAAGCAGCAATTTACTAACTAAATTGAAGAGATATTTTCAAATGTTTCAAGCTTTAGTTCCTAATAAAAGCTGAAACTGAGTTCTAAAGTTTAGAAGCATAATAACAAAGAGGTTCTATCATTACTCTAATTAAACAAAACAATAAGATGCATTAACTGATCTGGACTGTGCTCTGAATGAGCTCATGTGCTTGCTTGGAAAAACAATCACAGTGCATCCAATAAGAAAGGAAGCCTCAGGCATATTTTGCACAGTGATAGAAAACAAGGCAGTACACAGAAGCTCCGGTTCTACAAGCTGAAATTGATAGATAAAATGATTTTACTGTTGCCCATTTGTTGAGATATAACTGGCAGCAGATTTAAGTGAGTGGCTTTATGTTTCTATGGAGCTCAGTACCAGGCTCATCAGGTTCATGTGGTTAAAAAGTTACATCACTATGTTGTTGCAGACAACCAAAACCAGCCTAATGGAAATAAAAAAAAAATAGATTTTAGATTTGGGGAAAATATCTAATTGTGATTTTTTTTCTAATTGCTGTCATAGTTAAACAGGGGGTGTTTCATATCGGGTTCCTCAGGGTCACAACCAAACGTTTTTGCCTAATATTTCAGATGCAAAACTAAATCTCATATGTCGCCTGCAGTATTTTCACCAATACTGATAAAACCATGACAATATCAGCCAATATTTTCAGCTAACCTATTTAATCAGTCAGGCCTTAATTGAATGATGGTTAAAAATAAATAAATAAAAACAGCACAAGATCTATTCTAACAGTACATTCTTTAATATGCACATACAATAAATATAATTTAAAATGAACAGCGCACTGTAAATTTAGATATTTTGCACAAAAACTGAGAATTTGTTATTAGGCTGAACAAGATTTCTGCCAGGATTCTGTAAAGCCAGACTCACAGCAGTTTCTATGAAAGAACACATTGGTAGAAAGAGCATGACACAAACAGGCCCAATGATAAATCTGAAGTTCTCTGTATGATGCTCAAATGATCAGTGCTGCGTCCTCTTTCAAGCTTCAACACTGGTAACAAACTAATAAACCTAATACAGGTACTGCCAAAAGTGAGTCCATGTAATCTCTATCCATTGTTTTCCTTTTGCGTTGGCTAAACTGAGGACCAGTTATTAAAATGTCACGCTAATGCAAGTTAATTTTATCTGACAGTGTCGCAGAGAAAGGGCACCAGCAGATACCGGTGTAGTGGATGTACATAATACTGGCTCAGTGCTGGAGCTCTAACTGAACTTTTACAAGCCACTGCTTTTGCAAAGGCAGTCCTGCTTAATAAGGTACAAATGTAGCTCAAACTGGCAGAACCTGAATATCCACATATCAGCACATCTCAGACAAAACAGAGCTGAGTGTGAACATGTCGCCTGCTGTATCCTTTATGATGACAAACCATTTTTCATATCAGAGAACAATTCAGAGATATTCATCAGTTGTTTCCACAGAGTTGTTTTCATCAGGTCTAAACACAGAGAGTAGATTACAATAAATATATATTCAGTACCATTTTAATCAAAACAAAACAGTCTGCAGTCATTAGCCAGCTAACTTTAATCTTCGTTCTATCTAACTCTGGGTTTTCTGTCTCATGATGGTGGATCACTTTTTAACCAGTAACCAGCTCTGGGACAGGTTAAGTTTGGGACTGCGGATTGTAAACAACTCTTAGACCCATCAGGGCCGACGGACCGTCTTGTGGAGGCAGAAGGACTAGTCTTTTTCAGGTCACTATTTATTTATTTATTTTTATTTTTTGGGGGGAAATTGCATCATCAGCTGTTCAATTGTTTTGTGGTGCACACGCATTTAAGAATGACACAGCAACCACTTACTTCCTTCTTCATCACAACAAACCACATGAAAAATATCACTTTTAAATGCAGAAACAAAATAATGCCATGTAAATATGAAAATTATAAAGCAGGGGCAGTGTTGCTTTCTATCATTAGAAAAGCTCTGCTTATCTGACTCAATCAGCTGTATCACGCTGTCTTGCCTTGTGCCTGAAACATATCGAGGACCAGCTGGTACTGAAGCACACTGTCTCATGGTCGAAGGCACAAGCATAAAACAAATGACCTGAGAAATCTGAGCTCAAGTTGGCTACTTACCTGAAATGCTTACATGCTGCATAAGTTACATTCAGAATGTAACTGATGCTTCATTTAAGGTGGAATGGAAAATTCAAACAGAAACCAGAAAGCCAAATAAGAAGCCATGAAACAACATTCCCCACCACTTTTGCTGGGCCCATGGCAATAATGCTAGAAAGTAATACCGACAGATTTATCTACATATGCTCAGTTTTCTTTTTACTATTTTGCACAATAAATATCTTTACTGCAGTCTCAATAGACAAACACTGGCAGCAGAATGGGTCGTACTGATAAGCTTGGTGACTTTAAACATAGCACTGTCAAACGAAGCCACCACTGCCACAAGTCAGTTTGTGAAATGTCTGTCCTGCTAGATCTGCCCCAGTCAACTGTAAATGCTACTGTAGTGAAATGGAAGCACGTAGAAGCAACAACAGCTTAGCCACGAAGCGGTAAACTCAGAGTGGGGCCGCCAAGTGCTGAAGCGTGCAGTGCTTATTCTCTCTATTCACTAAAGAGTTCTCAGTTGCCTCTGGAAGCAACAACAGCAAAGGAACTGCACGTTAGGAGCTTCATGAAATACGTTTCTATGGCCGAGCAGCTACACACAGGCCTAAGATCAAAATGCACAATGCCAAGCGTTGGGGGGAGTGGGGTAAAGCACACCGCCACTGGAGTGACAAATTACTCTTCCCTATCTGACAGTCTGATGGATGAGTCTGAGTTTGGCAAATGCCAGGAGAACGTTACCTGCCTGATTGCACTGTGCCATCTATAAAGTTTGGTGGAGGAGCGATAATGCTGTGGGGTTGTTTTTCAGGGGTTGGCCTAGGCCTCTCAGTTCCAGTGAAGGGAAATCTTAATGCTTCAGCAAGCCAAGACATTTTGAACATTGTATGCTTCTAACTTTGTGGGAACAGTTTGGGGAAGAACCTTTTCTGTTCCAGCATGACTGAGCCCCAGTGGACAAAGCAAGGTCCATAAAGGCCTGGCTGGGTGAGTTTGGTGTGGAAGAACTTGACTGGCCCTCACAGAGCCCTGACCTCAACCCCATCCAACACCTTTGGGATGAAGTAAAACAGACATTGCGAGCCAGGCCCTCTCATCCAACATCAGTGTTTGACCTCACAAATGCTCTTCTGGATGAATGGGCAAAAATTCCCCACAGACACTCTCCAAAATCTTGTAGAAAGCTTCTCAGAAGAGTAGAAGCTGTTATAGCTGCAAAGGGGGACAAACTCCATATGAATGCCTATTGATTTAGAATGGGATGTCGTTAAAGCTCCTGTAGGTGTAATGTGCAGGTGTCCCAATACTTTTGTATACTGAAAGTTGGATAAAACTGTACAAGAACAACTTTGGTCAGACACGATCACACACAGAATTCATCAACAAAATATGCACACAAAATGTAACACTGTAGCATCTCAAGAAAGAGAAATAAAGGACTTACCTCTCGTGCTATGCTACTCAAGGCCTCATCCTCAGCTGAAAAGCGGTCCTTGATTGGAGCGCGTTTTCGTCCTGAACCTGGTGTTCCCATGTCTGTTCCTCTGTTTCTAGCTCCACAAAGACTGTTCCACAGCCAAAATGTGATCTAACTTGTTTCGTGGTGTTCTGGAAATACAAAGAAACAGAGGACAATTTAGTCCACGCCAAGAAAAAACAAATAAGTGGGTAGTTTCTGGGAGAAATGAACCACCTAATATCTGCCAAACACATCAAGCATCAAACAGCAACTATGCACTTTCCAATGTTTCTCCCTCAACAACCTTGCCACAGCATTGCAGAGACAGATGCCGTACCTAGCATGAATATTTTCCTCACAAAAGCATTCCTCCTTTCACAGAGCAAAGAAGAAAGTGAGATGCACATTAATGTTTTATAGTTATTTGCTCTCAAACTGAACAGATATTTGCAATAAAAAAAAACTGAATCAGCAAGTCTACCTCTAACACACTTCCACACTGTGTGGACTGTAGCGATTGAGATTTTGAATAATTTGAGTATTCCAGCACTCTACGTACCTTTAACATAAAAAGAATTGCTCAAAATTCCTGTTTTATTAATTTCTGATATTGGCTTTTTATACTGCTTTACCCAATTCTGTACTATAACACACTGACAGTTCAAATCAATGTATCCTGTAGGTTTTCAGTTTCATACAGCACACTCAATGCAACTTGTCTGTATATATAATATATATTCAAAAGTATCCCAACACCCCTGGCTTTTAGTGAATTCAGCTGCTTTCATGCACATTCACTGCTGACAGGCATTCAGTTGCACAAACACAGCTTGTAACCTCCAAAGAAAAGCACTGCCAAAAGAATAAGATGATCTGAAGCAGCTGCACATGAGCCTACAGTCACCATGCCCAACACCAAAATATCAGCTAGAGCAGTATAAAGCCCTGCAGTACTGTACTGTGGAGCAGTGGAGCTGCACTCTCTGGAGTGATGGAGCTCCATCTAAGGCCTTTGGGATGAGCTGGAGTGGCATCTGTGATCCAGAACTAATCTTCCAACATCAGTATCTGACCTCACTAATGCTCTAGTGGCTGAGTACAACCAAATCCTAACAGCAATGTTTCAATATCTAACGAAAGAAGTTTGCTACTAATACCTCAGATTTTGGAAGAGACGCTGGGTGAGCAGCTGTCTACAAACTTTTGGATATGTAGTGTATATTGAGCAACCACATCTAATTACAATACTGCGCAGGGACTCCAATGGGAAGCTCTCAGTGCTTATGCAGATTCCCTGATAATGCATATTTTAAGTTCTCCTGCTGCCTCTCAAAGCACAAAACAAAGCCCAAAGGACACACCCTCTTACATGCATTTTCACCACGCAATGTTTTTAAACTTTTTTTAATTAACATAAATTAATTAAATTAAAACTTTTTTACACATATTTTGAAAGCTTACAAAGAGTTTGTTATTGTTAGGCCTTTTTTTTTTAATCTAATTACTTGATTAATAATGGGTGAAAATGATGGGTAGATTATTTCTCTATCAGCTCCCTGCAAAAATGTACCTGGCACACAGCGTCCTTGACTGCTATGTTGGGAACTAGGACAGAGAAAAAAGTGGACCACATAGAGGTCCCAAAAGACTGTAACACTGTTCTAAAGCACAGAAGCACTTTACGCTGAAGTCTAGTAAGGCTGCTAGGGCTACGGTCATCGCTAAGGGTGCAGTGACATAATTAGATTGGCAGGAACGTAGCTTTAGAAGCCCAAGCAGTGCTTTCCTATGCTGGGCCTGAACCCTGATCTCCTGCTTGAAGAACAAGTCAATTAACCATTAGGCAAAATAGCCACTTACAAAAAACACACGCAGCCCAAAAACTATGCCAATCTGAATAAAAATGCTTCTAAAGCAATGACTATTTTCACTTTCAGTGTTGTGTGTAAAAGGCACAGACTGTATGGTAAAATGTATGAAAAAAAGTTTCTGCTTTTACAAAATCAACAGTTACAAGAAAAAAAGCAAGAAAAATATGTACTCCACTCTGCAACAAAATAATGACATAGCTGGCAAAAAAGTTACTGCAGATGATCAAAAATCTTGTAGAAAAACCTGAACTTCCAGAAAAACACTACTATTTTACCAAAAATATACTAACACTAACACCTAGGATTCTGCAGGGCAACTCTTCACACAGTTCACAGAAAATAGGGATTTAATGAAAGTTGACCAACAAGCCTAAAAATTTGATTACAGTTAGGCGGTTAACAGCAGAACAGACAGTGGAGCTTATGATAATGATGTTAGGCAAATTAAAGAAAGACAAAGAGATGTTAACGGTTCTTTGGGGTGAGCGCCAGGAGCTAGAGAACTGAGGCTTCAGGTTAAGATAAAGAGGTTTCCTCCACTGGTTTACCCAGCATGCTCTTCACAAGACAGTTGGCAATGCTTAACAAATAAAAGTACCTACGAAATACTCTAGTGAGCAAAGAACACTGGCCACCTACTCAAAACTGGAAAGGATGTCAAGAAAATGTTTTTCCATTTACACAACACATTCACCTGCAGAGCTCATGTTAGGCAAAGAAGACAACAAACAGTTTTCACTGCTCCTTTGTGAAGCCAATTAAACTTAATTCAAGTCAAAAACTGCAGATTTTCCATCGACAGGAGGCGAATCTCACTGTCTCACTGCCTCAGCCTGTTGTTAGTGTTGCTATTTGTTGTTTACTATTTTCTATTTCAACTAAAACTGGTTGATAATTAGTTTTATTTAACATGGTATTTTTGACATCCTGAATGGACTCAGTTCCCTAATTCACAACTAAACCACTGTCTGAAACAACTAACGGTAAACACTCCCATATTTACCCCAGCTTTAATCTTCTCCTCGAGCACTCCCGAAGCCAGTTTTGATGGAAACTACAAACCAGATCTGCTCCAAATCGTCACATAGAAGCAGAGGGCGTTAGTCAGTCTGCATTTCTTAGGCTTCACAAAATGGAAAATGTGCAAATGCCTTTATTGACTGTCAGATCAGTATAAATATGCACTGCCACTTGTAAATGACCTGACAAAGTTTATGTAGACAACATTACAGCATAACTATTACTATCTAAAGTAGTGGGGAGCACGTGGTTCCCCTGTAAATTGGCAGCAGTCCTGGGAGCAGTCACAAAAATAAAAAAGTCTAGGAGGGCATTTTACCTACAGAGCTCATTTATAGTGCTTCAATTTTATGTACAAATAAGCACATGGAAACTACACTGTCCATTTTTCATTTATAAGTAATTACAAAGCATATCTGGATATCTGTCCTATTCAGTGTAACCTCAAAACCCACCCTGAATGCCTACTGAAGCAGTTAAACAGTAATCATGTGGATTTTTGCCAATTTTGCCAGTAAAATTTCTTTATGAAGGTGTCAAATCTCTGTTTCATTTCTCTCTAATAAACCAATAAATTCTGAGTATCGCTCAATAAATGTTAAACAATCACCTTTACAACAACTTAGTAACAACAATGGTAATCAGTGGTAACGAGGACAGTAGAGTGGTGCTGGTCATGGTGCTTGTGCTAGCTCAGACAGCAGGCTAACAGCTCCGTACTAGGGATGTGCTAATTTCATTATTTGCGGAGCTAGTATTGGAATACTATTGGAATAATAAGTGTGTTCATTATCTCTTACCACTATGAAACAAGTGCTTTTAACTGAGCAGGTTGCTAAGCATATAGGCATAGGCAGAAGGCAGCTGGATGTAACTTGTCTTTAGCACTAACTAGGATAACTACTCTTGATGTCAGCTAGGTTCAATACTGAACACTCATCTAACACAAAAACCTAGCTACCCAGTGCTGTCACTTAAAAAGGTAAGCCTGGAGTCCTGCATTAATTTAAGCTGAATTCCTTTTTTTTGGGTCGGTTTGTTGTTTTTTCCCCTTCCAAGCAGTTAACACAAACCATTCATCAACGCTTACAGATAATCTAATTTCAAAAACATTCAGAACACACACAGCTACTCGACTGTGTCCGTATAGAATGTTTAGGACGAAAAGAGGCGCATGTGTGTTTTCAAATAAGGTTTTCAGATTAACTGGGCAATAGTTATCATGCTCAGGCCTGCCCTAACTGGCTAGCAGCGGGAGCACTTCTACAGAAGTGCCTTCAACGCATATTGAACACATTCATCAATCACACTTCATCAAATTAACTGATCAAAGCATGAAGAAACAAATGACAAGGTAATAAGAGAAACAGTAATGAAGATAAGCTAAAGGAGTGAATTGCTGATATAATTTTGGAAGAAGCCCACCCCCACAAAAAGGGACAGGGTGGGGAAAACATTTGCCAGGTGGTCAAAGTCATTCCTGTGTTTTTAGCAACACCAGCACCATGATGCACAGAGCTCTGCTTCAGACCTTGTACTCAGTCTAAATCATCGAGGCTTTCCATCCCAAGTTCAATAAATACAGCAAACAAAAATAATTTTGAAGTATCAGTCAAATCTGTACATTATCGATAATTTTTTAAGCAAATATTTGCCAATATCTTTTCTGATACCACTGTGCATCCCTAATACCATAAAAATGCAACAAGATTTTTTGAAAAAAAAAAAAAGGTTTTAAAAAAGTTCTTGGTTAGATGAATAAAATTAGAAGAACACCAGTTTGGGTCACTGGTTTCCATGCTATTGCAAGGATCTGTTAAATTCCATCAGCAGCACATTCAATTTAATGACGGACTAATCAGGTAACCCAGGTACTGGATGTAAACTGTAAACACTTGACTTCCTCGAAGAGAGGACACTCAAAAGACATAGAATTACAATGTACTCTTTAGTTCTATTTATTGCACTGTTAGTAATTTTTAGGTAACAAATAAATGTTACTACCCAGAGAAATAGCTTTATACTATTTTCTCAGATGTCCAGAGACTTTTTCACAGTACTGTAAAACTGCACTGAAATTTTTCCTTTATAAAGTATAATTTATTCCAATGTTCTAGAAACAAACCAATAAGAAACTGCTCTTTTGGCAAAATTATGTCAGTCTCTTGGCTCTTGCCTTCAGTGCTATATATACACATTTAAGTAGGGGAACATGTCCTAGATTCCTTCTTTTTTGTGCTTTAAAACTCTGAGCTGCCACTTTGTGGTTCTACCATTTCTCAATGTGGCTTTAACTGACAAACAGGAATAAAAATTACTGAAACGTATTGACATTTTTGCCTGATACACTTGTACCAGCGCATGTCAGTATCATGTCAGTTATCACTGCATTGCTGAGAATGGTCCATCAGCCACATGATATACAAGTGGTCAGTCGTGGTCCTATGGTGGTCCATTTACACTGACGAATGGGGTTAAATTATGTAGCAACAGATGGACTACAGTCAGTAACTGTACACCTACAAAGTCCACTGATATAGCAGGTCTCTGACTAAACGACCAAAGTTTGATACTTGTGAAGGATGAAGTCGTCACATCAGGGACTGACCAACTGCATGTTTCATTATAAAGAGAGAAAAAATAGTCCTGTTTAACTGGATTTAGTACAGCACAGTATGTGAAATACTGAATATAAATCACTGTATTTACAATATTTTATATTATTTTTATGTAGCACTGCTGGTTATTTTTTCTCTGTTCCAACTAATGCGACGTCTGAAAAAATAAATGTCAACATATTATGTATTATGAAAATATCTTAAAGTTTTGCGATATTATATTTTGCCATACCACCCACATCTAAGTTACATACAACATATGTCTGATTCATGGTGGTGTGGATTCTGAAGCTGCAGCTGAATGGTCAGTAAAGTAACTTTGCCTCAATGTTGGTATTTTGACAAACCAAACTACTGCTAAGGACACTCAGTTCTTACTGTAAATGACCAGAGTGATCAGAATGAGCTAAGGTTCCCCTTTCAATCATCACTAAAGCTCATCATGTTAGAAAACAGTCACTGGAATATTTCAAGCTGTATCAGTTTCTGTTAATCTGAAGTATTTAATGGTGACTTTAAAAACCAATAAACTCTGCAGCTCATCCTGTCACAGTGTTATGTATATTAGCAGGCTAACTACGTACAACTGGTTAATTAGCTTAAAAACGATTCATTCTGAAAACATGGTATTCACACAGAGCTTTTCTAAAGAACCATCATGTTAAAATGTTAAACCAGTTAAATGATGCTGCAGCCTGAAGAGCGATGTGGTTTACCCACATACTAATTATTATATCACTTATTTTAAGCTACTGCTCATTGCTTACCATAGGTCAAAATTATGGGCAGGCTTAAATAAATCACTATGCTTTTTTTTCTGTGGTGGTAATTTAGCCATTGGTGAAAAGGACCCCAGTTTGTCAAAACATTGCCAACCAGTTCATTGTTACAGCTCTTCGCATTTACAGACCTCATTTAAGCTGATTAATCGATTATTAGTCGACTAAATCACATGAATCACATTCATTTTTTGCAGCGCTGCTTTCACTACCGCTGAATTCTAGTACTACGAAGCCCTGCAGTACTCAGACACCACCCTGAGAAGGAAGGTTAGTGGTCAGAAAACCTGGCTATGAAACAAGAGGTCCATCACAGCTCATAATGTACTGCTGATACAACTGTGCTCTGGAAGCACTTCAGTGAATGGGGGCTGTGCTCGCAACTGGCATCTGCCTCTCTAGATGAGAGGGTCTGCTATATGTACATGAACTGATCAACTGTGTGGCATTCGCCGGGGCCAGCCGCCAAGGCGAGCGTTATGAGACAAAAAAACAAAGATGACAACAGTTGTACTTAGTTCCACATCTGTTTCCTTTTCCAAAACCAGCCCAACCCAATCAGCAATGCTGTCATATGTGAAACCTGCTATGAATAGTCCTAATGATGAGCATAAGGGCCTGAAATATTATTTAAAAGAACAATGCGCTGAAGCATCAGAGGCTAAGAGTCATTTACAAGACAAACAACACTTTAAATTAAAGGGGAACGTCATCCATTTAAAAAAAAATTCTGCATAGTCCATAGTTCAGAGTGGTTTGACGTTAAACTGCGCATTATAGAGAAACGTACCAACTAATTTCTTTAACGTGGCGTCTTCTGAGTTTTTACATGTAGTGCTGATGATGGTAAAATAGTGGTAAATCTGAAAAAAAAAGTCTTCTTTGGGGACCATTTTGCCTTACAACGCCCTCGGTGTAAGTCTACCATCAATGTAAGTCGAAAAAAATACGTTTTAGGCCAAAACTATCATAAAACGTGTATAAAATGTATCAGGCATCAGACAAAACATTCATACCTATTTCACTGAATAAAAAGGCAGCTTTCAGAGGCATTGAACACTTCAGACGTCTGGTTCCTATCACCACCACCGTCAACAACTGTGACTCGGTAGCTAGCTAAGTCTCTCTAAAACAGATCATTTAACATCAACTCACTCTGAATGGCTTTACATCTTAAACATTTAGTCAGGCACAAATTTCGAAAAATAGGTGGAGCTCCCCTTTAATGCAACAACATGCCGAACATAGCCTCGTGCTATTTCGCCAAGCCATAAGATCCTTTAAATTAACCCAGTTTTCATCGCCATAAAACATCGCCTCTGCTATGATTACTGTGCTACATGTTACCATGGCTGTGTGGAAACACTTTCATATAAGCAGATAAAGCATTAATGGGTGTATAAAATCCAGGTGGGGCTTTATCGCCTGAGGTTAAAGACCTATAACGTTACTTTTAGGTGAAAGTCCTGATGGATCTGCTCTACTAGGTGCTTCATTTAATCGGCTGCATAATGATATGTTGTCTTTTTTACTTACGGGAGCGCTTCACAAAGACTTCACACTGTCATATCACACGCAAGTGGCTAACATTAGCTATGCGCGAAGGGCTGGCTAAATATAGCCCGTTAGCATTTCTGAAGCTTGACTGGGACCCGTTTGGAAAACCAATCAGCTACACTGAAACTAGGGAAGAACTTCCCCAACCAACCGGCCCAACGAAACCCAAACGAGCTGTCTAAATGACCCAAGTCGGACAAAAATAACTATACAACAAACGCGACTATTCAGCTTGTCACTCAGTGATGTTTGTAACTATTATTAGCCTCTGTGTAGTTAGGTTAGCTAACCTAGCTGGAACCGCAGCTGGAATAGAAAAATAGCTAGCTGGCTAAGCTAAGGCTAAGGAAGGATATAAAGTACGTTAACAAAAAAAAACAGCTTGGTTTTCCATACAGTCTCAAATCCATTACCGTCCACTTTGAACGAGGCTGAAGTTCGGCTTCTTCTCGTTCGAACTCTCCCGTTCCACCTTAAATGGTGCAGCAGTTCCATTGTGGCGCCTCAGGCGCCACAATGGAACTGCTGCACCATTTAAGGTGGAACGGGAAAATTCGAACAAGAAGCTGGCGAAAAAGAAGCCGTCCGCTTCGAGGACGTGAAGTAACTTTTGTGTTTGAAAGTAGCGGTTTTAGCAGTTTTACCTCCTTTCGCACTCCGCCTGAATCACACGGTCTGGTCCAGGGTTGTCCTGGAAAGCCGAAAAGCGCAATGTCACCTCAAATCCCACAAAAAGACCGACCGCCGCGGCCAGGACGCTTCAGGCTAGCGCTGGTTAAAACAGCTAGCGAGCTGGCTAGCTGGCGATACTGGCCTAATCGCTCCAACGGCAGAGTGTGTGTGGTGTGGTGCGGTGTGTCTGTCAGTGTGTGCGGGACAGCAGAAACTGACACTGCCCGTCACGTCACACTTCCAAAAGAAACTCCTGCTTTCTTTCCGGCGCTGAAGTCTTCAGGGCGCTGAGCTCCACTCTCTGAACTGCGCTCTGGAGAAGGACGTTTTCACTTGGACTCCTCACTGCTGAACATGTCTGTGCAGGAGAGGCTCCCTCCTTCCTTCTTCCTCGCCCTGTCTCCGCTCAGATGGCAGGGAAAGATACTCTGCCTGTCCCGGAAGTGTGTGTGTATGGATAGATGGATGTGTGTATGTGCGCGCTTGTCTTGCTATCACTGTGAGGACCACATGTCCTCTCGGTAATAGGACGACATGACAGTTTGGCACAAGTGAAGACAGTTTGATGGTCCTCACTTTAGCATGTGCTGGTTTCGCCATAAATTACTTTTTTTTTTGGAAAAACTAAAAGAGCTGAAAGATTGCCTGTTGGACACTGAGGTTAACACTACTAAAACGTGTGTGTGTGTGTGGTCTTGTATTCAGATGGCCTCTTTGGACTGTGGAAAATGTTACGGAGGCAATTTATTATCAAATGTTTTAAATAATAAAAAAAAAACACAAGCAAAATAATAATTATTATTTTTTAAATGCAAATCATTACAAACCTCGGTTCCAAAAAAGTTGGGACAGGAGGTTAATAATATAACAGGGACGGAAATGCTAATAAAAACAGAAAGCAGTGATTAATAATTTTGTTTGACCTGTATTAAATTGAAAACAGTTAAAAAAAAAAAAAAAAAAACAACAATAATATTTGATGTTTTACATTATAGAGATTTTTTGTTTGTTTGTTGTGTAAATAAAGTTGTATGCAAAAGTTTGAGAATTTCTCAAAGCAGGATTTTTTGCTTTTAACACATTTTTACAAGTGGGTGTGGGTCTTAGAAGAAGACGTTCACCTCAGGTGTCTATTGTTCAACTGATTTTGGAGTGACAGGTCTTCCGGCCTTAGTCACACTCACTGGGCTAGGCTAGCAGTGTTCACTTAAAGGAGAATTCCTCCAATTTTTACAATTTTCTGAATATTTCTGTCCTTGATGTGTAAACAAAGTCAATTAGAGTGGTTTGGTGTAAAGTGGTTCATTGTGGAGAAACAGACTCAGATTTCTTTACAGTGGTGGTTTGTTTACTATCCAAAACTGCTAGTGAGACGCCTGTCTTCTGAGTTTTTATATGAAATGTTGATGATGGTAAAATAGTCATAAATCTGAAAAAATAAGTTTTCACTGTGGACTATTTTGCCTTACCACACCTTGCATGTACCCCTCCACCATAAATGGATTGCAATACATTTACGTTCTCTAGAAGGGATAATTTTCACATCAAACCACTCTGAATGACTTTGTTTATGTCTCAACTATTTATTTACCTAGAATTTTTGAAAAATCAATAGACTTTCCCTTTAGAAGCTAGCTAGGTTAGCTAGGAACAGAAAAAAAATGAAAGCTGGATACACAAAATTGAAAAATTAAAACTGATTTCATTCTTATCATTTGTATTTGCAACACTTTTTTGCAACACAAAAAAACCTAATGTTTTATTTGTGTTATTCATTTATTTTAATCTTTTGGCACAAAATGAAACATAACATACAGCTTTTATTTGAAAATGCTGAAGAGCCAAAAGATTTCAGTTCATGAATTCAAAAAGAAATTCTATCCATATTTCAATTTCCATATTGCAATCATTAATATGTAAACAAAGTCATTCAGAGTGAGTTTACGTGAAATACCATTCATAAGAAAACTAATTGAGTCAGAATTGTTTTACAGTGGTGCTGATAGGAACCAGACGTCTAAAGTGCTTAATGCCGTACAAGCTCCTTCACAGAAAGTTATTACATGAAATGGTTCGCTAAATCACTCAGGGCCAGTTTCCCAGACCCTGATTAACCCTAATCCTAGAATAAAAAAAAAATCAAAGGAGATTCACCAACGGCACTGCAATTTAGGCAGAGACTAGTTTTAATCCATTTCTGGGAAGCCGGCCCTTGAGTTTGGTGCATTTGCACACAACTTTGGCAAGGAACACACACAGGCTCAGCAACAGCTTCTTACCCAGTATTCCTTGAGATACAAGCAAGGACCAATCAGTGAGGAGGGTTTTGTTTACAGCTGTGTGACCAACATGGAGAAAAAGACATTCAGCCAAGACTTAAAATGCATGCTTTTAATCCTAGTGGCCCTGAGGTCTTCCTTTGAGGAGGACCGAGGGATTAGGGCGTCTTCTGGGACAGGCCCTAACATTTTATGTGTTGCTATGAAATTTGGAGAATGAAAAGTTCAAACAACTATTCACATTAAAATAACATCACACTTTAAAGACAATTGGCCTCATTCACCAGTATTTTCGTATTTTTTTCTTAAATGTCTTCTTGAGAAAGGTCAAAAAAAAAATCTACGTCAGATTTGTGACGTGTTCCTTAACTGCAGAATTGTTCACATTCCCCAAACAAGAAAACATTAGTGAATGTCAGAATATTCATAAAAACTGTGTAAGTGGGTTTTAAGAATAAATTTCTTCTTAAAAACAGTTGATGAATGAAGCCCAATGTTCTGAAGAGAAAACAAAAGTGTATGGTTTCATACACAGACTAATGCATAGACCCAAACCTTGTTCACAGCAGGCACACTGGATCATGAGTTACTACATTTATCCTTACAATATTCCAAAGAACATTGTGTGTTGTTCAATCTCTGTGGATTAGGTTTATAAACTATGTGTTATATGTATAACCATCACTGCTTGTAAACAAAGACATATGCTAACTAGAATATATGCTACATAGCCAAAAGTATGTAGATGCCCCTCCCAATTATTAGGTTCAGGTATTTCAGCCACACCCATTGCTAATAGGTGTATAAAATCAAACACATGGCAATCTCCATACACAGACACTAGCAGAATGGGTCATACTGAAGAGCTCAGTCACTGTAAATGTGTCATAGATTACCACCTTTGCCATGAGCAAACTCATGAAATTTCTGCCCTGCTAGATCTGCCCCAGTCAACTGTAAGTGCTACTATTGTGAAATTGAAGGCTCTAGGGGCAAAAACAACTAACTCACAGAGCAGGGCTGCTGAGTGCTGAAACGCATATCCAGTGTTGCATCACTCACTACAGGGTTCGAAACTGGAAGCAACATCAGCACAAGAGATGTGCATTGAGATCCTCATGAAATGGGTTTCCATTGATGAGCAGCTGCACACAAGCCTCAGATCACTATGCACAATGCCAAGCGTCGGCTGGTGTGGTGTAAAACATGCCATCACTGGACTCTGGAGCAAAGGCAGGCAGCCACCCAGGGCCCCCATCAGCAAACGACTTCATGAAAATACAAATTAGATAATGTCATCTAAATGTTAAATAGCCTATTATAAAAACGTATAGATCATTCTACCACATTGATTGAGTCATTTGTTTCAAACCCATTTCAGACTTTTAACTGACTTAGACTTTAGACAAAAAAAATGCTTTTGGTCTGAATGGCCATATGCCTTAATTATGTTTATTAAAATAAATTATAGAACATTCCATTTTGTCAAAAACTAAAGGACTTGCAAACAAAGTTTCAAACAGCTGTACACAGATAAAATCACAATATTTTTCATTAAATCACAAAAAATGATTACTTAGTCTAAAGTGAAGTTTGAACCAATTCAGTAAAATGATCCGTACAGGCTACTGACACTGGTATGTTTAAAGAAACTACTTGCTTGGCATTGCTGTATTTACAGTGCAACCATGCCAACCTTCAGACCTTTTACCTCTAACTCAAGTGTAAAGTAAGTTCAAAAGCTTTTTCTTATTCACTTTGTAATGTCTTGCAGTTTGGGTTTTGACCCCCATGTTGAAAAGGCACAATTTTCAGTTTCCCCTCTGGCTTTCATTTTGTGTAAAGGCCCACATAGCGACTCCACAGGTTGTAGACTAATGGATGGAATTCTACAAACTAGCCTCAAAAATGAATTTTATTTCGAATATTCATTCTTGATTTTTTTTTTATTTAAACTCCCTTTTGACAAGGTGTAATTTATTATTTGTCATTTTCTTTGAATGTCCTGCTCAGGACAAGTTCTCTTCAAAATAAAAAAAATCGTCCAGTTATTTTTAATAATAATTATTCGAATTTGTTTCATAAGTCATTCAATGTTATTTATCTTTTAACAAAGAAAGTATTATTTTACAGCGTCCCAGACTTTTGTTTTGAAATACATGGCCGCCTGTGAGCCGAGGTCTCTGCTAGGGCTCACATTTCTCTGACCGCTAATGTGAAGAAGCAAAACGCGACATGGAGAATTTCATGTGGTGAATTTGATGAGGTTGTAATGCTTAGGAAGTGGAAATTAACTGTCTCTTAATCGAGGTATTAATTTGTATTATAAGGAAGATTAATCTGTGTTTTCAAGGTGCCCTCAGGGTCCAGCATGCAAGGTTTACCCGCCTGCTAGGTTAGTTAGCTTATGTAGCTAATTTGTGTTAAATCACGCGGATACAGTGTCGAAAATACGTGACTCTTAATTTAACTTTAATTAAACACTGAGATAGGAGCTCAGAAAAAAAGCACAAATATTCAGTTAGCTGTCTTATCGGGACAAGCTAACGTTAGCTAGGTTAAATCGGGTAGTTCGTCTTCGTTTTCTGAGAAGGTATCCTAGCTAGTCATTAGCCACAAGTGTGTGTTGTTGCATGCTTCAGTAAGCTGTTGTAGAAGCTCTACACTGAGAGAAAAACATTTCACTTTATCATTATTATATAAATTAACGCTCAGAAGATTATTTAGTCATCGCTAACACCGTCTAGGTATCTTAGCTGAATAAACAATATGTTCAATGTGAATGAACACAGGGATGACCTCTAGCAGCTTGTGCAGTAGAACACTCTTAAAAAGATTTGCTCTTCAGGGTTTTTTATTAAAGACCATTGTTTTGTTTAGAACTAAGAGTTACATATAGAACCATTTCATGCTTAAATGGTTCTTTGCTTGGTGAAATAGGATCTTCAGATTGATGGAGAATGTGTTGTACATAATTCTATATAGAACGTTTTTGAAAGTGGTTCTATATAGCACCAAAAAGGGTTCTTCTATTGTTACAAGCTTGACATCATAACAGTAGAAGAACCCTTTTTGGTGCTACATAGAACCATTTTCAAAGAAGCATGTAGAACCATATACAGCACATTCTCCATCAGTCTTTACCATTTAAGCAAGAAATGGCTCTGTGT